TATACGACAGACCGAAAAAGAGACCTTCGATTTTCCAGTACACACTAAAGGACGCCAGTTATTTCGAGGTGTCTTCGGACACTAAATGCGTATCCGAGGGCGCTGCGTTGCCTTCTCTTTGTTAGCTGGAGCGGCGAGCCAAGGCTCTCCTACCGGGGTCGGTATTGGATGGTCGTTTGGATAGCCATTCCCAGAAGTACGAGTCTTTTCCTCGATGAGTGTAGCGTTACTTCTCTCTTACCGGGGTTTTCAGCGATTACGCTAACATTGTGCTATAGACCCGCAACCAAAGATGGCTGTTCGAAACAAGTAGCCCGGTGAAGCAGAGAACGCATTAAGATCTCGAAGTGAAAATCACTTGTGTTTGGTAATGTAGATAGACTAGGATGAACTGGGTGGGCTGTTTAGTATTTCGAAACTATGCGGCAAAACGACACAAAAAAAACGATTGAAACTAAAGACAGTTGCGCCTATTATTGTTCACTTTTACCGAGATATGCAAAGTTGCCCTAATTTCTGTGTTTGTTCTTGCACAGCGTTCGCAATTCTTTTTTCGTTCGTTGCCCGATAACGCAATATTCTAGGAAACGTGCTGTGAAGTATGGTACGTCCGCTGCACATGATCACAACCGGTGGTAAACGTCACCGCCGCGTCGATCTCTGGGCTGAATTGACTATCAACTTCTAGGCGTAAAGCGAACATTCCACGTATCTTTAGCGTGACAAATTAAGGCAGCGTCGGCCTGCAGGCAGCAGCGGGTCTTTCAAAGCGCTTTTGTTCTGCTCGCTTGTTTGCCGAGTGATATGCGTACGTTGCCGACATGGAACGTTGCTAAGTGCGATTCGAAGGTAGCACAGTCTGTCTGTGCCTCCCGCCAGTCCCACCTCTTGAGACCTTAATCAATCCACCCTCTCTCTCTCTCTCCGTCCGTGACTCCCTTTTCAATAACGGAGGAAAACGCACATCGGGGCGAGAAGTAACGCTTCGCAATTTCGCTTCGCAAGTGTAAACGACACGTGTCGCTACAGCGTCCAGGCGTTGTGTGTGTGTGTGTGAGGGGGGGGGGGGGGTTGATTTATACGAGCCCCGCTGCGCGCCAAGTCCTGGCAGGCCGGCTTGTGCATCGGCTAGGCTGGGCGCCTTCGCACTTCCGTGGCGGCGTCGTTCGTGCGCCCTTGAGATGGGGTGACCGCGTTTTCGCGTGACGTCCCCCTCCGTCTTTTCCGCCGTCGCACCGGCAGCGGGGAGCGTTTGATGCCGCCATTTGATAGCCTGCATCCGAGGTAGCGGTCGTGCAAGAGTCATTGGCTCATGCCGATGGGATTTTCGTTTTGATTTTATTCCTTTCTTTGATTCGAGGTCAACTGCCCGAAATGCGCAGTGAGCTAACTATAAGAAATAAAACAAAAGGGAATAGCTATATGACATAAATCAGGCACAAACTTGGGGAACGATAACTGCACCGCTGAAGTCTATAGCAAAGCCTACTGTACATATAGTTAGGTTATTCATGTGCACTTAGATTATTCTTATGCCAGGGGCATATCCAGAAATGTATTTCCAGGGGGGCGAGGTGTAAAAATTTTTGTTGGGCTAGTTGGTGCATGTTACAAGAAAATTAGACGACGCTAATTCAAGTGCCCCTTATGATGTATGTTCGTGAAAGCGTTTGTGCACACAGAAACACACTCACGCATGCAAAACTGAACAATTTCTGGTGGTTCGAAGACTCCTCTCCATCTGGCTGCTCCAATTGGACTACTCCGAGCACTGTTGATAACTGAGGTTTCTCTAACGCTGTCGCGTAAGCTCCTTTTTGATTGATTGATATGTGGGGTTTAACGTCCCAAAACCACCATATGATTATGAGAGATGCCGTAGTGGAGGGCTCCGGAAATTTCTACCAACTGGGGTTCTTTAACGTGCGCCCAAATCTGAGCACACGGGCCTACAACGTTTCCGCCTCCACCGGAAACGCAGCCGCCGCAGCCGGGATTTGATATAAGCTCCTTTTTTTCCCTATCTGGTGCTTTCATATGCGGTCGCTGGGGAATGTGACGTCACACTCTCAATACAATTCGATATCTCGCTGTCCTCTCCGGAAAATTCCCAATTAAATGGAGTCCTCTTGACCGCGTGCGTAAATCTCTCGCGCGTGGGAGGTCTGTTTCAGCTTCTTGTTCATTTTCTGCTGAAGCCCGTCGTCTGGCCGCGTTCGTTGAACACGCATCTGGCCCTGACGGCGGCGCGGCCATCAAAAACACACGAGACCGCAAGGCATGGACGTCAAAGCGAGCTGGGACGGTGGCCTGCAGCTCGTCTTCATGACGCCCTGGCAACCGCCGCGCGGCCATAACCGCCGTCTGGAGGCCTGTCTGTGTTCAGTGTCTTGCGTACACTGACGCGCACGCGTGAGTGTTCACATTAGGGAGCTGCAGTCGGCGCCGTACGAAAAATAAAGCTGCGTGAAAAGGAACTTTTCTTTTTTTCGTTACGGGCATCGCACTGGAGCGCACACACATAAAACGACGACAGAATTAAACAAATTGCGGATTTTCACAAGGCGCAGCTTCGGGTCTCGATGTGCCGTCATTTCGAGCGCGACTGATTCGGTACTTCGCACGTTCCTGGAAGGGCGGCAATTTTCCCGACGCGTCTGGCATGACTCTGATCAGAACTGCGTCTCACCCAGCGCGCCTGCAAGTCGTCAGTGCTGCTACGTCAGAGAACCCCAGAATGCAAGGAAGGACGACAGACGAGGAAAGTGCGGCGCACAACGCGAGAGGAGGCTGCTGTTTGTGCGCTATGATGAAAGGCGGCTGTTGTGTTCCCGTATAAAGGCCTCGCACTTTGTCCTAATCTGCAATTCCGCTGTGCAGCCCCTTTTGGCGTCCTTTTCACGTTGGCCCGAAAATAGAATGCAACGAAGTGATGATCGACGAGGTCGATTGCGCATGGTGTTCGCGTAATGAGGACCTGAACAAGGCTGGCCCATATTGTCACGCGCCTGTACTTCCGTTGAGGAGCCCTTCTGGGTTTATATTCGCGCTAGTAGATAGCCTATCTCGACGTGCACTGCGCGGAGATCGCGTTGCACTCCATGTAACTGCCGAGGCGGCCGTGGTGTTTGCGAAGTAACCCTGAAATTGAACACGCGTTCCCGACAGTGCCGCGTCGTCTGCAACGACGGCAGGCTGCGTCGTCTGAACGGGAAGGGGGAACCTTCGGCTTCGCCGACCGCGCCTGGGCTGCATCGACCAAGGACGCGCCATGCAGGAGTCCGTCGCCCGGCAACCTATCGTAAACAGCCCGCGCCGTCGCGTACCCATCCCTTTTTCACCGTAGGGTGGAGTCCCCGATCGAATATCCCCACCCCCTACGTCGCCAAGGCAGAGTAGGCGGGTGCCGCCGCCGCCACGTAATCGCCGCGCTGCGCGTGCCTAGCGCGCGAATCCGCCGTGCCCGACGACACAACGCCACTGTGTGGCAGTAATTGCCTTCGCCGCTACCGCGCAGTTTTTCTCTCTCGATACGGTAGGCGACACAAGCAAAACACGAACAGTAATATTACGCCCGCATTGTGTTAAGCAGAAATAGCGTGCAGGGCATTTGTGTATGCTGCGCGCCGATTCATTATTAACGTGGTGCGGATATGCTGACACACGGCCATACCCGCGATCTCCCCCTTTTGTGGCAGCATGATGCCGGAAGGACCGTAAAAAAAAAAAAGACAGGTTTCGTGCTGATGCTGCTGTGGCAACAGGAAATGTGTCACCATCGGTCATATTTGTATGCGAGGTTCTTAAGTGTCTTTGCGCAAGTCGTGTTCAGCTGGTTTCCAGCGCATAATGCACTGTCTGATGCACTGTGCTTCAAGTATGGCGTTACGTGTCAAACTGTGTGTGGGAAAATGTGCATCGTTGCCATTTCTCTTCACCTCTCCATTCGTGTTTTTTGTGTGTGTGTGATGGAGGCGACATCAACTTTACGAAAAATAGAATAACTTGGTGAATAATGCAGTCACAGTCGCTAGTAGTGGTGCTTTCACACCTCTGGATGCTTCACTAGTGCCGCTCCATTCTGATGATGCTGTGCTCAGTTGCTGAGCCCTGGTGGGAAGTGATTTGTAATATATGTGCATCCCATCTGAAGTTGTAATTTAGAATGTAGAGCACTACGAAACTTGGAAATTCAAACCAGAGAGCAGTGGCGTAGCCATTGGGTGGCACACCAAACCCTTACACCCCCTCCCAGAATTTTTTTTTTTTTTGCCATGGCATACACAGTGAAAAATGAATATTTCAAAAAGGGGCCCCCTCCCCCGAAAAAATTGGTCAACTGTAGCTGAGCTACAGCAGTTTTGTCTTTCTGTATGCTGTTGAAACAGTGGCTACCACTTAAGGCTCACTTTATTAAACTGCTATTGAGGTCGTTCATTAACACAGCTTCCACATTGTGTGCAGGGCACGTACATCTCGAAGCACATATCCCCAATAAGTGTGTAGACCATTAGTGCTGAAGACTATCCATCACCAACGACCCAAATAGAAACCTATGACCAGAGAAGCCATTATGGTCCTCTTTTTTCTTTTTCTCATTGTTGTGGAGAATTGAGTTGTAGTTCATCCCTCGTTATGACACCCATGATTTGTTTAAGTGCCATTGTGAGGGAAGTGTGCAAGTGGTTTCTGTTGAGAAATATCACTTTCAGTCTTGAATTGTTAGGAGCTGTGCTTCAAGGGGACCCATGGCTTTTTTGGTGAGATTGCACCTATACTTGGTAGCTATCGCTTGTGTTGCCGACATTAGGTGCACTTTGCGGGCATTGCCAAAGTTTGTTATTAAAAACAGGCCATCCTGCTTTTTTTCGAGCTGTCGAAGAAGCGTCACAGGCCATTTTTATCTGACCAACTGACATACGTACTCGTGTGCATTTACGAGAATTTTAGTGCATGGGCACACGTATCAAGGAAATCGTTCTACCATCTTTTGAATCCAGGTTTGGTGATGAACGGGGTTATTACTATGATCGTACGGGGGATCGGGATCCGTACGTGCGGCGAACAACGGGCTACCACGACGAGGACGGCTACCAAAGCCGGGGCCGTTCGAGAGATCGATACGCACGCTCGGCGGCCTCCAATGCTTCTGCCTACCAGGACGGGACGGACAGGTGCCAGGCTTCTTCGATCTTACCTGGACAGTACGGGTGAGTGCTGGGACATATCCATTCTCGACATAACAGGGATATTCCAAGTAAAATGGCTAATAAGATGCTACTTAAACAGCAAAAAGTGTGAAGAGCCTGCGCATACCATTGTCTTTGGCAACCTTCGTGTGTTTTCATTTTGCTGTCCTCATTCACAATCTCTTTTACACGCCAAAGTTTTGATGTGTATGCAACGTGTAAACTAGTGCAAGTTTTATTGCAATGCCACCTTGTTAGCCGTTACTGCATCTATCAACATGCTTCTATGCATGGGTGATGGTTCTGTTTGATGCAGGAAAAGAAAAAAATACGTTAGTTTTCACTGGGAACCTAGTCAGTGTTTACAGCCTCTAAATAGGAGCTAGCTAGATTGGGTAGAACCTACTTACTATGAGAAGTAGTTTTTCTAATAATAGGGCTTGGAAAAGAATTGGATTGCATCATGCAAACTTCTGTAGTTTAACAAAAGGTGGTAGATTGCTTTCTAATTATAAGCATTCTATTTTGTCTTTCCAGAAGTGGAAGCCACTTCCGTACTCATGGCGTATCAGCGCGGCAGCCAGCACCACTGCCGCAATCGAGCCACTTCGACGCATCAGGCGGCTACGGCTTGAGTCCGGCGGCCGAACCCTACTCTGATGACAAGGACAGCGGTTCACCGTCGGCGGCGCGTAGCGGGCTGGTCTCACGGAGAGGCTCGGCGGTCAGTTCGACGGTCACCTCTCCCCCGCAGCAGCCGCAGCTGCAGTCACAGTCACAGACGCAGCAGCGGTGTCACAATAAGCACGTCTCGAGGTCCGAGTCACGGTCGCGCTCCAGCTCCCGAAGTTCAAGCGGCAGCCGCCTAGGATCGTCATCTTCAAAGATTCGCTCCAGTTCTAGCGACAGTAGTCGCTCTCTCTCACCTAGCAAGTCACCCCCGTAAGTTGGCAGGACCTGCGTAATCTCTCAACTTCGAGCTCTTAAGCTTGCGCATTTCTATGAGTGCTGGCCAGTATGAATCATCTTTTGTGTTTGAATTATACGTATAAATATCTCTTTGTCCTTTCTTTGTGGTTTTGTTTCAGACACCATTCGAGCAGCACCAAGGCGTCACGCAGCGAACGGCCAGCGAGCGCTGTGACGGCAGCACCATCATCGAGTTCATTTTTGCAGTCAACCATCTCCACACCAAACAGTAGTAGCACCAACGCCAACAATGGAAGCAGTAGCAACTGCTTGCAAAACAACAACAACAACTCCCTTGACGGGAGCAGTATGGGCGACAGGGAGGACAAGCGGCCACTCGGCATCTGTGTTCGGAACCTACCGGTCAGGTCCACTGGTTAGTTTCCGTTTTCTGGTCATTTCTTGCTTACTAGACCACACGTGGGGTTGTTACAGGAATGTCAGTTTGTTATGTTAGCAAATTAAACTTTTCTAGTTAACTTGAAAAAGACTACTTTCCTTTTAACGTGGCACATGGTATGTAGACCTGGTGAGGTCCGAACGGTTTGAGGCTGAAAAAGACGCACCTTCTTCGGCAGCTTGCATGGGCTGCCCAAGGTTTGATTCAAACACAAATATTCTAGTGATAGTGCACTGATGATGTTGAGGCCTTGAGTGTTTCCACACCAATGCGTTCATTTCTTCACACAATGTCAAAGCAGCGTCCGCTCCTTAGGTGACAAGCTCTACCAAAGCTACAATGTCTTTCTGTCAGCACATGCATTTCTCACTGTTTTGTTCGTTACATTTCAGACACAAGCTTAAAAGACGGCCTCTTCCATGAGTACAAGAAACATGGCAAGGTCACCGTCGTCAAGGTCATTGGGCAGGGTACCGAGCGGTACGCTGTGGTCTGCTTCAAAAAGTGAGTACAGTTTCAAGATCACCATTGCCAGTGGCATTGTATGTGTGCAAATTGAGCTATGGAGTACGGTGCATGCGTAGTGAGGGTCAGTGCTGAAAAAAAAGCCCAAATCTAATGTGGTCTCAGGTGTGTTTAAACAATAGCACCTAGAGACGAACCACTCTAATTGAAGCTCGTAAGAGGAAAATCTGAGTGTGGTGTGAAAATTGTGTCATGAAATTACATAGCTTCGTCACATCCGGTTGCTATATCGACTAGCTTTATTCCTGAGTTTTATTGTTTTTATGAGCTCTCGTCACATTGCAGTCTCTTTAACCATTGATATTGGTGTTTCTCTCAAGGGCACAGTGCCTTGTAACATTCTCCAGTTGTTCTTATTTAAAGGTGTAGTTCTGTATAACATTGAGATGCAAAAGTGCTCATCCCACACAAAGCACTTCGTGCACGCGTGATGTGCTAGAACGAGGCACATGTAGCCTACTAAACATCACTGTGCATCTGTCCGTTCTACAGCAATAGCGTTTTGGAGTCACTGTAACCAGTGTTTTGATTCTTTCACCAGGCCCGAGGACGTGGAGAAGGCGCTGGAGGTGTCCAAGGACAAGCTCTTCTTTGGCTGCAAAATCGAGGTGACATCGCATGAGGGCCTGGACGGGGAAGACAACGAGTTCAGGCCGCTCGAAGCGGAGTTGGACGAATACCATCCGAAGGCGACGCGGACCCTCTTCATTGGCAACCTCGAGAAGGACATCACCACCACAGAACTGAGGAAACACTTCGACCAGTTTGGTGATATCATTGTAAGTACTGGTGCCAAAGAGCCGATGCTCAAGCCCATTTTTTTATGGAGTGCTTAGTTTCAAATAAAAGCCCGGGCAGTTGAAGAAAATGGTACGTTGGAAAGTTGGGCTTGTTGGTATGGATTCGTGCTATTAAATGGCGTGCATGGCGAGGGACTGGATGAAAAGAATACAAGACTGGCCGATCTCTCTGGTTGTATGTGATTAAGCTTAGTTGCGAGTCAGTGCCTGTCCTGTTTTCTTTTCATCCAGTCCCTTCTCGTTGGAGCTGTGTAACATCATGAATCTTTATTCCTAAATTACGCTCCGGCAAAAGAAGACCCTCTTGCAATCAAAGCAGACATGACAGTTCCAGTTCGCAAAAATAAGTATTGATTTAGCAGTATTCTGCACCATACTGTCTAATGTTTAACCTCTCATCGTGAACTTGAGGAAAACAAACAGTTTTGAAATAATGGTTCTTCACTCTAGGCTGATGTAGTATATCTTTAAGATCACTGTAAATATTCACTTATGTTGTTGTTTGCCCCTTGTTTTTAATCCAAACCTGTAAAATCAAACAGGTCTGTGGTGTACAGTACCCATAGACAGAATTGCAACATCAGTTTTTCAAGTAGAGGGACTGCTGTGAGCAACAGTTCATGATGACCGCTTCATGTCGCTGCAGATCTGGCCACTAGATATAATGTTGCTTCTAATTTAAATGCTGGAGTCAAAATTACATACATTTATATGACACACTATTTGTCCCAAAAAACAAAAATGCTAGCATTACTCAGCCCCAAATTTTTCACATTACTATCAGTGAGTTCAGTAGAGGACTTCTGAGTGCGAGCTTCTAGAGCTGGCGTTGCCATGCACAACCATTGCAGGAAATCGACATCAAGAAGCAGGGCTCGGCATCGTCGTACGCCTTCATCCAGTACGCGGACATAGCGAGCGTGGTGAAGGCCATGCGCAAGCTAGACGGCGAGAACCTGGGCGCCAACCGCATCAAGCTGGGCTTTGGCAAGAGCATGCCCACCATGTGCGTCTGGCTGGACGGGGTCACCGAAATGGTCTCTGACAAGTTCCTCAGCCGCACCTTTGGCCGCTACGGTCCCGTCTCCTTTGCGGTGGTTGACCGAGAGCGTGGCCACGCCCTCGTCTACTTCGACAGCCTGGAGTGCGCGCAGCACGCCGTGGCCGAGATGCGTGGCAGGGTCCTGGGCGGCAAGAAGCTGCAGGTGCGTCTCCTACATACTGTGCCTATGTTCCAGGATGGCAATCCTAAGGTCGGTCCCGTCATACCAATCGCCGGCTATGATGATCACATTTTCGAGTTTTGTGAGCGTCGCCTTGAACAGTGCTAAGTGCACTGTAAAGAGCTAGCCTGTGCAGAGACAGCCGATACGCCGTCATTGCCAAGTTCTGGGCCGCTATTTCGTATATGTGCACTTTCCTTGACCGTACTGCATTTACTCGAATCTAGGTTGTCCCCTATTCTAAGCGGGTCGGCCAAAAGTCCGAAGTCCGGGGAAAAGAAAAAAAAAAAAAAAACTTATCTCGAATGTAGGCTGAACGAAACAGCGAAGACAGCGCTCACAAAGAAAAAACATATATTGAACATAAAGATGAACAAAGCAGTTGGGTCATGATGTAAATAACTCGAGGAACATAGTCGTTTGTCCAGTTTCTTTGTCGTTTTTTTTTTTTTTCATGCTGCTTCTATTTATTTGCACCATAAAGATGTCGTGCTTGCTGATGCCACGCTCATTCTGAGCCGTCGTCGCTGACAGTGCGCAATCCTCGGTGCCGTCAAGCGCATTGGATATGCCGCTGTTCTTGAAAGAGCACACAGTTCCAAGTTCCTGGGATGTCGTGCCACGCTGCAGCCCCTCCTGTGATGCATATTTTTTTCATCTGCCCCAAAGTTCTGCTCGACATGAACATTGGACGATGACTCCGTGGCTAAGACAACTTTTCTTTTATAAGCGGCACTACAGTGACACAGTCTGTTTGACACCATTTACCTACACCACACACGAGCCACTCGAGGCGCGATTCCAAATGACAGACGGCTCGCCTCAACACTCACCGGTGTCGGCCAAAAAGATCAAAGTGGCGGCATTACGTGTGTACTTAAGCCAGGTGTTGGCTCAGCTACTAACGGCTGCAATACCATCTAGGTGGCGTTAGTTGTGCCCCACTTTTCCCAATAAAGAATGGTGCATTTCGCATAATCCTCGCGTCTAAGCGGACTTCGAAGTTTGATTAAAAGAAATTTGAAAAAACTTTCGGCCTAGGTTAGAGTAAATATGGTATGCTGGTCTTGTTATCTACCACTTGTGGCCGACAGGTCTCATCGATAAGTAGCGTGGGCGGTCAATTATTCTGACTAGCACACTACACAACGGTCTAGTGATTATGGTGCTCAGCTGCTGACCCAAAAATCACGAGAACGAATCCCGGCCACATCGGCCACATTTCAGTTGAGGCAAAATGCTCAAGGCCCACATGTTTTAGATTTATGTGTGCGCATCAGAGAACCCCATCGGGTCATAATTTCTGGAACCTTTCACCACTATGGCTCCCATAATCACATTGTGGTTTCGGGACGTAAAACACCAACAGTAAATAATATCCGAAAACTGTCCGCTCATAACTACAAAATACCAACCCAGATTCTGTGTGCTTCGTTGCAGAGGGAGCCGTTATTAGTCGGCATTACACAGCTTGTTTGCCTGGACGAAAATTGTCTGCGAAATGCGTCGCCCTTCAAAATGTCCCCGAGTTTTGACGAATTTCTGCACTCGCTACCTCCCCTCCCCCTACCCTTTTCTTTGCCGTTCTAACACAGGTTGATTTTGCTAGTCGTGAGTGTCAGTCTGCTTTCTTCGACAAGATTGAAATGTCTGGCCAAGTTCTCCAGAATGACCGGATCTGGGAAGGAAGGAGGGAACGTCGGCAGGAGTTTGACGTGATACGGGACGAGAGGTTTACAAGGTTGGTAATTCCATCCCAACACCCTTTGTTTTTGTGTTCAGAGTAGCAACAGAAAGGAAAGAGTGCAAAAAATAACTTTGGCTTAGGCATTGATTACTAAATAGCCTCTCTAACTTAAAGAACATTCTGTTATGTGTTTTTTTTTTCCTTTTGCCTGAAGAGACATAAGTTGGGGGCAATACTTTAGTATTAAAGGCAGAAAGAAAGCTAGCTGGCTGATGGCCTGTCGTGAATGGTGCCAAAGACAAGCTGCAATAAAATTTTTGCCATACACAGAAGCCCTGTGTCAAGTGGCATATGTATAAAGGGACCTTCGGGCAAAATTTCATGACTGAAATAAAAGCAGCAGCGTCATGGGAAATGACAGAAATAGCCACTTTTAGTAACGAAATTGGGGGGGGGAAGGAGATAAATAAATAAAAATATATACTAAGGAAAAAATTCCACCACGCTTGCCAGAAGTGCCAGTTGATGGGGAAGCATTCGTGACACTAACAGCAGGGTCCATAGGTTCGCACTACTGAAGCAGAAAGAAGTTACTACATTTAAACCTAATTATAGCAAAGTTGGATCTTACAGAAAAATAAGTTATATACGAAAATTCATTATATAAAACTATATTTCTTCATTTACTTTATTATAACTGATTTTTCGTTATATCTAGGTTCGTTATATAGAGTTTTAAGCGTACTACCATATAGATGTACGCATGTAAGCACTTAGAAAGCTGTGCTCAAGTTTTGCATAATCTCTCGCAATTTTTTATTGTCCTCGTTGTTAATGTGTTTGACCACCTTATTTGTGGATTGCCAGTTGAACTCCCTCCTGCCGTGTTTCTTGCAGAGATGGCCGGGGGGTAGCCTTTGATGGCCGTGGCTACAGTCGCTATGAAGCCCAGCAGCGCACAGCTGGGCGGGGTCCCAGCCGCGGCCTGCAACGAGGAGGAACCTACAACAGTCGAGGCCGGGGCCAACCATTCGGGCTGCGTTACGATGGCACTGTCTACCAAGAGGAATTGTGTGATCGGAGACACAGGTGAGCATAATTATGCTGTGCAAAGTGCATGTCTACTGCTAAAGCAACAGGAAACTTCTTCTCTCTATCTCACATGACGAGCGTGTATTGAAAGGAAGATTTGAAAAACAGGCTTTGGCAAAAGAACTATCGAGGTTTCAGTGCCCATCTTTAGTGCAAGGAGCTAAAAAAAATTGCTTGATTCGAAGAATGCTGTGTGTTATCACAAGCAACTCACCTTGAGAGCTTTCAGCAGCATGAACTAAGTGTTGGATAAAAGATTGCTCATTTTACTTTATGGTTGAAGCTGACAAGACCCACTGTATATTTTTTTACTTCTTACTAGGTTTTCGGACAAAGATGACAGCTTAGAAGACATCACCCCATACGAAGAACGGGCAGAGCGCCTCAAACACATAGACGGAGTCTTGGGTACTGCTGACTGGGCGCCCCGGAAGACGAGCAGCAGCATCAAAAAACACCGCAACTCAACAAGTGATCAGGAAAGTCACCACAGCCAGTCGCCACCGCAATCTCGGCATCACAGCCGGTCCCCGCCACCGTCAGTCAAGGGCTCTAAGAAGGGATCGTCCAAGGAGCGGCCTTCTCAGCGCCACCGGCTTAGCCCTGGCCGGTCATCCTCCCGGAGCCCAGTGGTTAGGGACGTGGCTTTGGATCTGGAGGATGTGCTTGTGGACGTGCGAGACATAAGGCGGCGTTCATTAGATGGACCTCCCAAGTCGGACTCCAAGGAATTGCCACTGGCTTCCGTGTGCAGCAAGCTGGAGGCTTTCCAGGACTCTGGAGGCGAACGAATACGCAGCAGCAGCTGCAGCAGCAGTCGTACCAGGAGGGAAGAAGACGTCAACTCGACGAGTGATTCGCCGTCGCAATTGGAGCGCAAGAGGCGCTTATTAGGGCTCAAGGAGAGCTCGGGTGGCTCACGGCCGGAGGACAGCCGCAGTGATACTGACTGTGCCGAAGGTGACGAAGAGCTGTCCATACGATCTGACAGCAAGTACCTTTCGAAGCAGGTGCAAGACATTCTAAGCTCCAGTGATGGTGAGTGCTCCCCGAACGCTGATGGAGCTGCCAGAAAGAAAGGGAAGGGTTTGCCAACTGACACATCTGCAGCAACGAGCCGTTCACGGTCCACCAAGGACATCCCCAGCGTTGTGTCCAAGAGGCTGCCCACAAACTGTAGGACTGTGGGCAGTTTTGAGACAAAGTTTTCTGTGGAAGTGCCGAGTGTCAGGGTGGGTGAGCTGTTACAGAACGCAAGGAAGCAGATCGACCCAAGGCGGCGGTTTGATCACAACAGGGTGTCCTCTACCGTGAGTTACCTCCGCGCAAAGAAAGTGCATTCAGACCCGAGCCTGGTCTCGTCAACGGACAGTGAGGTGGGTTCACAGGATGCATCCTTGACCGTGCATTTGTCCAACAAGCATGGTGAAGATGGCATCGATGAAGTGTCCTCTTCGAGTGATAACCCACCACCCTTAGTTCGGACATGGTCTTTTCTCGAGTCTGGCCCAATGTCCCTTCCCCTGCCCAAGTTTGCGGCTACTCTGCGGTCACCCAAGGCATCCCCTTGTGTGGGTGCATCCCCAATGGCCAATTCACAGAGTCCACGCGGCAACTGTTCACCCTTGAGTGCCTTGAACACCAAGAATGGGCCTGTGTTCCCAGAAGCCCTCGCCAGGCCCGAGAAGCCAGTCGAAGAGAAGCCAGTGGAGGTCATCCCGCCAGAAACGGTGCCCGAGGCTCTCTCTCCGAGTCCATCTCCCAAGGGCTGAAGGGCCCTTCCGATTCCAAGCTGCATGAGAGCTCCTCTGACTCTGAAGGCTCGCTACCATCCCCAAATCGTCCGTCTTTTGATGAGCGGATAAGGGCACTCGATGAGAGGTACAATGCCCTCACAGGACCCACTCGAACATATACAGGCCCTTCGTTGGCTGGTGCCACTGTAGAGACGCCTGCACCAGTGACGATTGACTACAACAAGTACAACATCAAGAAAAGGCCAAGATTTCCAGCTCTTTCTCAAGAGTTTCGTGCTGAGCCGTCGGAAATCATGAAGACCCTGCTGGCCAAAACCACCATCCTTGACCAGGACTCCAAGCGGCTGGAGCATATCAATGAGAAGTATGAGCCGAAGGACGTCAAGCTCGACCTTTGCTCGAGCAGTGCCAAGCCATTGTTTCGTACCAAGGCAGCCGCCAAGGAGTTCTCAACTCCGTTGTCCCTTCCTTCACTGGGCTTTTCTTCGTGCACTCCTGCCACTTCTACTGCTCTGCCCCAGGGCGCCTCTAGTCCAAGCTTCGCACATGCAAGTACTGCTGCTCCTGGAGCGTCCCCTAGCCAAACAGTTCCTAATTGTCCTCCACAGTGCACCACAAGCCAGACATTAGCAGCTCCAGCCCCTCTGACAGCGCCGGAGCCCCATTCGAAACACGTGCCGCTGATGGTTGCAACATCTTACAATGACACTCCTACAAGAACTGTTCCACCCTCCATACTGCGGCGGGAATCTTCGCCGCCCTGTGTAGTGAAACAGGAGCCATTGCAGAGCCCACCTCTAATCAGCCACACCCTTGTCACCCCCTGCTGCGGTTGTGGTAAAGAAAGAGGTGTCGCCGAGAGCTTCTTCGTTACTACGGCGGGACTCCTCCCCTCCGGTCGTGGTCAAGCAGGAACCCTTCCAGAGTCCGCCACGAACTCCCGCTCCGCCGGTACCTCTGGCCGTGGTGAAGAAAGAGCCTGGGTCAGAGACCGTTTCGACAAAGAAAGATAGCAGGAATCGAGAGCCGTGCGCGGTGAAGCTGGAGCCCGCCGCTGTGAAGGAACCGATTGTAAAGAAGGAGGTGCACAAGGACAGCAGCATCAAGAAGGAGTCCCGGAAAGAACACCAGTCATCTTCCTCAAAGAATTCACTAAGGGATCATTCCACTTCCGATGCCTCTTGCAACTCGGCCTCACACAAAGAGAGAAGAGATTCACACTCTCACGATTCTTTGGACCTACCTGCACCTCTTCCTTTGGCATCCGTCAAGCAGAGAGTGTCATCTGTTGACAGCAACGAGTCGGACTCTGCAAAATCATCTCGATCGAGTGATGCCTACCTCGAAGTTCCCCCAGAAGCCACCTGGAACAGAAGTGAAGACGAAAGACGGTGCATGGAGCCGGATGCAAAGCGGCCAAAGCTATCGCATTCCTCACGTGACAGAGACAGCTTTGACAAAAGCCACTCGTCCAACAAGTCGAGCTCTTCACACTCCAAGAAATCTGAGAAGCGACTTGAAAAGTCGTCTTCCTCGTCGTCTTCATCGTTCAAATCGGAACGGACAGAAAAATTGCACTCATCCTCCTCGTCAAAAAATGAGTCTGGTGACAAGCAGGATACGAAACTATCGTCAGAGTCCAGACGCGATAGCTCTAAAAGCAAAGACGACAAGAAATCGTCAAAGTCGAGGGACGGTAGAGAAAAGTCACGTGACCGGCCTAAGGAAAAAGAGTCGAGTAAAGAGAAATGCCAAGATTCAAAACATGGATCTTCTTCTGGGTCTCATGCAGGAACCAGTAGTAGCAGCTCCAAGCAGCGGAGAGAACACGGGTCGGACCGCTCTGAAAAAGAAAAGTCAAGATCCGAAAAGCGTATGTCGTCTACAAGTGAACAGTCGAGAGACTCGAAATCGAAGTCCAAGAGCAAAAGCGAGAGCAACTCCGCAGTCAGCCCCTCAGGCGTCCGACTTCTGCTTCCTGGATGATGAGCCTGTCTATTTTTCCATGTATGACAAGGTGAAGGCACGTTCCAGCCAAAACCAGACACTGAAAGATCAAGCAAACATGGAAACAATGCGGCAAAAGTTCAGCCGGCTCAAGCAGAGTCGTGCCAAGAAGGGGAAGTCTGCGGATATGGACTCCGATCGGGATTCGGATCTTTCTAGTCACCACTCCTCTGACTCCGAGAGCAAGTCGAGACCGCCTCACAAGTCCAAACAACTCACCAAGAAGCGCAAGCTGGTCATTGAGAGCTCGTCGGACGAAAACGAACAATCGTTTGCGATGCGACTCTTGCACAAGGATGATGACAGCAGCGACTTCTGCTCCGACTCAGAGGTGGAATCGTACAAGGAAGCCTTCAACAAATGCAAGGAGAGAAAGGTGGACATCTCTGATGTCGAAACCTCGGACTCTGATGAGCCATCTCACTTGATGGCGGCATCCCGAAAACAAAAGCGGAAGCAGCGCCACTCCTCTGAAAAGTCCAACAAATCTCGGCACGGAAAATCTGACATAGAGAGTTCAGATGCAGACATCAGCAGATCACTAAAGAGGAAGGAGCTGAAGAAGAAAGTGATGCGTAAGCCTAACATTCTTAAATCTGACGCAGAAGGCTCTGAAGACGAGTGCCATACGAAAACAGATGAAGGCAAGTCACTGAAACAGAGATCATCGAGGCAAGAAGAGTCCAAGTCAGACGTATCCCACTCCAAGGAAACTGTTGGTCACAGCAGCAGCAGCAGCAAAAGTCAAACGGCCAAGCAAGGACACGGATGAGTCCAAACACGAAGAAGACCTGGATCTTTCTAGGCAAAGGCACTCCAGTAAAAAACGGAAAAAGTCTAAAAAGTCATCAAAGCTAAAAGAGAAGAAGTCAACGGAGAAATCCAGTATGTCATCACTGGCTGCTCCATCATCGCAGAAGCGGTCCGATGCACACTGGGATGTTGGGGAAATGTTGGATGAGTCTTCTGTGTCATCGAAGTACATCAGTTCACCAAAACAAACTCTCAATTCACCACCTGTTTTGCAGCCAAGCATTTTCTCTGATGTGGAAATGAAGTCTGAGCTGTCGGATTACGACTTTGAGCCATCATCGAAGCCAGTAGAGAAGGTCAAGGACAGACATCCTGAAGCACCATGGGAGAGCAAGCACAATGTAGTGAGAGAGTTCTCGCCTGTAAAGGATATCAAACAGGAAAGAGAAGAGGGATCATGCTTGAAAAGGGAGAGCGACTCTGAACTGGACAAGATCGTCGACGCTCTGAGTGAGGCTGTCGAACCTCGAGGCGTAGCAGTCCAAGAGTTTTCCACCTCAGACAAAAAGGAGGGGTATGATGTAATGGACAGAGTGCCCTATGACGACGTTACTTGTGACGTACCATCTACAAGACACCTCAGCGAGGATGATGACAACAAAGAATCATCCTTGAGGCAGGAAGACTTGAAAAGCAAAGAGCACAGGAAGAAAAAGAAGCAATCCAAGGAAAAAAAGCGAAAGCACAAAGAGGAGGTCATTTCGCAGAGCTCCGCAGTGCTAGAGCCAGTTGACGAACCTGCTCCGACATTTCCTGTGGCAGTGGATGAAGACAGCAAGCTCACTGAGGACATTCGCTTAGATGAAGATATAGCCGAGGAAGCAAGGCGTCTCGAAGAGGAGCTGCTGGCACAGTCTGAGGAGACGAGTACATTCGGTGACGGAGACAGTGTGCCGAGGAGAGAAGAGAAGCCACTGCAGGCAGAAAGGCACTTTGAAGAAGAAGCCGCCAAGGAAACAAAGCGGCTTGAAGAGGAGCTGTTTTCGTCTGGCAGGGACTCGTGGCACATGAAAGACGAGAAGGTGTACGATGACGTTGCAACCCAGAAGGAGCCCAAGACCTGATGCTATGGATGTGTCCTCAGCGAAAGACAGCAGCTATTCTAGTCTGGTAGCAACGGAGGAGTTGCCAGAGCCGCCATTCAGCGTCGCCGCACTACCTCAGCCACGACGTGCCAGAGCAGTTCAAGATGGATGACAAAGAGCAGAACACATATGAGGTTGACAGCCCAAGAAAGATGGAGGATGACCTGGCGGTCTATGCCTTGCTTCAAGAAATGGGCAACGACGGTATCTCAGCTCCAGAACTTCCAAAGGAGCCAGACTATCTAGACACCATGGTGCAGCATCATCAGCCACAGCACGAGGAGTCCATGAGCTTTTTGCTGCCCGATGAGAGCTCGAGCTCCCTCCAAATTGATACGTCCATGCCAGATCTCACACAAGAGGAAAGCAGGGACTCTGGTGGTGCCCTTGAGTTTCACAGATGCCCTGCAGTCTTTGCAACAGCAAGAGCAATCACAGCCACAGCAGCAGCCACAGCAACATCAGCAAGAGCAGCAACAGAACGAACATGAAGAGCTCTTGGAAAAGATTGCTGAAAGCCCTGTTGAGGAGACCTCCACATGTGGAACAGCTGAGGAAGAGCCAGCAAGGGAGACAACATCAGAGCCACCTTTGCTCATGGATGCTAAAGAACCCGAACCAAGCATTGTGCCACCTAAAGAGCTTCCTGATCTCTCAAAAGCTGTTCTGCAACCGGAAGCACAGAATACGTCGACAGAAGAGTCTGACATGGCCGGGGTCACAGCAGCTAAATCCGAAAAGCAAAAGTTCAAGAGAAAGCGGCGGCGAAGTTCAAGAGCAGACAGCACCAATCAGCGACTCCTGTCCGATACAGACGAAGAACACCAGTGTGTCAGTGACAAAGGTTATGAACAGCGAGGTGAATCCATTTCTGCTGAACCATACCAGTCTGCCAAAGAAGAACCAAGGGCACCGTGTGCAGAAAACAACACCATTCTTCCTTTAGCAGAGGAATTCATGGAAGAGAAGCCTGCAGACACTACAGATGCTCCAGCTGGAAGTTCGGATGATGAGCCAAGCACGGCACAGCACAAGACCCTTGAAGTCACGAAGCAGGAAGAATTGTTTGAAGCGGCGACTGAACTTGTGCGTGACGTTGCAGCTGAACAGAAGGACAAAGCTGAAGACATGGAGATCATGGATGAAAACAATGAAGATACAGCAGACTTGAGGCAGTGCAGTGCGCACCAGACTGATGTTCCCATTGAGAATGACAGTAGTAAGGATCAAGAAATGTTTGATGACATGTCTCATCGTGCGCCAATTCTCGACATAATAGAAACACTTAGTTCTCCGGTTGGAGCTGGAGAAGCGCATGACGGTGATCAAGACGAAGTCACACACCAGGAAGGTGACTCTTCTGGTGAACAGTTAGACAACACACTTTCAGCAGAAGAAACTCCAGCACATTCCACCGAGCCCACTGTGGCAGGAACAGAAGGCATCAAGCGAAAAACAGGGAGTCGCAAGGGACGCAAGACAAAATCGAGAAGGGCCTCTGTACCTCGCCTGGAAGTTGCTGAAGTCCCAAAAGTTCCTGCAAGGAGAGGCCGTGCCACGTCTGCTGACAAAGTTCGACGCTGCCTAAGGTCTGATAACATTGACAACACGCTGTCTGAGACTGAGGACGCGTCTGCATTCCCATCAAGCGAAGTTAAGAATGAAGCTGCTAATCTGGAGGCCGAGCCACCACATGGTGGAAGTGAAGCACAGCAGCACGACGAAGAACGGCTGAGGCTCTCATTTGACAGCAGCACATCTAAGGAAAGCACTGACTCATCAGCTGCCCCGGCTGCAAGCCTAACTGGTGGGCATAGCACGGACAACGCCTTGCCCGAGGAAAAACTTGGCGACTTCTGCATGGACCCTTACAAGGAGGAACCCAAAAAGAGAAGAGGACGGAAGAAGAAGAGCTCTGGAGAGCATCATTCTGGTCGCATATCACCTGTTCTCGACAAGACGTCAGATCTGAGGAGTGAAGACCACGATTTCAAGGATGCAGACAAGCAAAAAGAACGACCCCTTTTCATTTGCACGCGACAAGGTTCAGCAGCGCAAGAACACAAGTTGACAAAGGGCAGTACAGCGAGTGCCTATGACGTGTACGAGTTCAAGGATTCTGAAGATGAAGAGGAGACTCAGTTCGGGGGTACTGATTGGCAAGTGGCACCCGAGAAGCACCTCGAGAGGCACATAGAGTCTGCCCCAAAAACTGCCGAACACGCCATCCACGAAGAAGGCAAGATGCACGAGTTGAGACCCGCCGAGTGTCCAGCCTTTGAAAGCAAACTCCCAGAATCTAACGCTCATGATGCCAGGCTACACGAGACCAAGACTCATGAGCTGAGATCTCATGATGCCAGTAGAATGCACGACGTCAAGAGCCATGATGGCAAGGTTCATGACAGCAAGGCCAACGAGACTGTCAAGACTTATGACACCAAGGCCCATGATGCCAAAGCAAGCGACACCAAGACCAACGAGGTCAAGGTATACGAGGTCAAGGCACACGAGGTCAAAGCTCACGAGTCACAGCATGAAAAGCGGCACGACGAGAGCAAGCACAAGACCTTCCAGCACGAAGATAAGGAGGCTTGCACCAAAGAGTACGTCACCGAGCTTAGTCAGCATGGCAAGATTTCCATCACTATCCGTCTGCACCAGAAGGACGGCCATGATGGCAGCTCGTCCAGCACGGCTGAAGTGGTCAAGACATCGGAAGCAGTTGCTGGAGACGACACTCGGCAGGAGAAGGTGCCACCCGCCAAGCAAGAACCGACTGACGCTCATCAAATCAAGACCAGGAAGTCGGCTCGGCTCATGTCGCAAGCCAACAAGACCACCATTGACGAGACCATTGAAGATGTAGTCAAAGGTAAGGCCCACTTGCTACAAGCACTTTCTATGCCCCATCATGATGGTTCATACTGTGCAGGGCTGTAAACCACTTGGAGCTTTCCTGCTGAGTGGATTTATGGAAAACCCTCATTTTCTCTCCACAGCTGCAAAAACACATATCACAAGCATTTCACAGAGTTAGCAGTCAAGCAGGATTTTCAATAAGCTGCTGCAGAAGTGGCTTTGAGGCCAGACATCACAAACTTGAGTAGTGACAGTTGTATATTGCATGATTTTGGTTTTGGGCATCTCTAATATTTAGCCAGCTTTACTAGAAAAGAAAAAAAATACTCGCATATTTTGCGCTCCCCGACCCACCCGAGCCAGCTTGTCGGCGTGGGCGCAAAGAGACGACTTTTGGATACTTTGGATGGGTGTGCCCTTTGTCAAGCAGGCGAGTGTAATCATACATAAAACAAGCTGCGAGAGTGAAGTCCCACCTTCCAAGGATATTCCTCGAACTACAGTCCTTAGAATATTATACCCGAACACCCAAACTTGCTGACAGCTCGTCATAACTGTTCGACCATTTGCCTTCTTCTACCTCCGCATCTTTTCCGCCTGAATGCACAATCATGACACAGCACGGACAACTCTGTTGAATTAAGAAGTGCATTTTGTGCCCCAGCTTATTTTCTTTTTTTTTAATATATAGATGGCACACATTAACGATTGCACAATATTTCACATGCATTTGCAAGATCTTGGTGTAATTTGTGCACTCCCATTTAGGATCTCCAGAATATTTAACCAAATGAGCAAATTAATTGAGTGATACAATACTTTAAGATGTTGTGAGTAGCCAAAGCTTTTTGGGCTATTATATTTAACCAAACCAAGCAATGAATATCAAAAAGCAGTGAAAGGAAGCATTAGAGAGATGAAAAAAGTGGTAGATTAACTGCTGTTTTCGCTATACAGTAAAATCTCGTTAACCCAGATCTCACAGGACCGGTGAAAATCTCAGAGTGAACCGAATTCCGGATTATTGAATGATCCTTCAAAACAAAAGGAAAATGTACTCTGCAGACACAAACCTTTATTTTATGAAAAAGAAACTGCATCAACTTTGTCTGCCTCGTCATTGGAATTAGTGCTCGAACGATCTTCTTCAACCCATGTGGTGGTGGTGAGCATGTACACGCTCGCTGTTGCGAGAACTGATGCAGAACTCCACGAGGACCGAGGCCTTCGGCAGCCTCCTGCACGGTGCGATGTCGCGTCGACTCACCTTGAATTTCATCATCAGAAGAGTGATTCTGATCCTCTTCAACCACTTCCGATAATATGTCATAATCAGTCAGCAAACCAGCAACGGCCACACCATCATCAATGTGCACAAACACAGCCTGACAACGTAACGACAGTTTCTATTTCAAAGCACCAACTCGCCCAACAGTAAACTCTTTTGATGTACCCGAGCTGCGCTTGCTATGCGCGAAGTCACAACGCAAAGAAATCAGCAGCTTAGGCATCGCAGGCAACTGGAATAGCGGCGGCTGTGCAAACTATCCCGTCGTTCGTGCATGCGGCACCATGTGCGGCGCATTTCGCAGACCCTGGATGCACCGGTGGCCCAAGCGCTTCTGCCGGGTGGTAACCAGCGCCACCTGGCCACTTCCCCTCTCATTCTCTATCATCATAATCATATTCTGCTGCTGTTCGTTCAGTTTCTCCAAAACTTCGATTTCGCCGTCGGTTACAGCGGCGAAATCGCTTTCAGTAACCGGAATCGGTTACTGAAAGCATGGAACCCCGAAAGCCCTCTTTGTAATTGTCCGAGTTAGCTGGTGCTGGTCTAAATCCCCCCTAATTAGTAAGCATTTGACATCATTGAAACATACACAGTTCTGCCGGGACCACGCCGCGTGTCCGAGTTAATGAGATCGTTAATGAGATCCAGGTAAACGAACATTTACTGTATATACATTTTTTTCGTTGTTGAGATAAACTTGTGTCGCCCTTTCTACGGAAGAATTGCTTTCTTAAGTGATGAACAAGTGTTGTTATTAGCAGGCTGATGCATTTTTGCACGCATGTAGTCGCGTTAGTTCAGTAGGGTAGTGCTGTGGACAGTGTGGGCATGGTTTTTTGACTGGTGTTAGCTACAGGTGAGTTAAGGTGGCCCCGTGTTCTCTTGAACCTTGCAGGACACTTCAAGGCACTCGAAGAAGAAGGTGACTTGCACTCGGAAGGCCCCATGACCCGAGCTGCTCGAAGAACAAGGTCAAGTAGGCGGAATGAGGAAGTGCCATCAAAATCTGAACCAGAAGGTGCCACTGAAGCAACAAAAGCAAAGAATGAGACCCCAGTGCTTATCATTGCCGACAACAAAGTCAAGGATAATGTTGAGGAGAGCAAACCAGTTGTTCCTGTTTCTACTATTGTTCCACCCCCATTGCCACCACCACCATCACCATTACCACCACCAGTAGCACCAGCAGCGGCAGCAGTAGAAACATTAAGCACAATAACTGACTCAGAGCCCACTAGCAAACCAGAATCCAAGATGTCTCTGCGATCCTTCAGGTTCACACGATCTGCAGCCAAGGCAGAAATGTCAAAGGACATGGGTGTGAAGGAAGAACCTTCCCACGAAACTGAACCTTTCAAAGATGACCTTTCCTTGCAGCAACAGCCTAGGCCCGAGGCAATTCGTGCAGATGCTCAGCAAGCAACAGTTACTGCACCACCAGCAAAGCACGAACAAACAGCAGTCAAGGATGAGCAGAAGGTGAAAGCCTCTGCGGGTCCGTGCGAAACCGAAGACAGTGACTCGCGACTGAGCCCGACAGAGCTCATTGACCCTGTCACAGGTTTCCTGACACCTGTAAATAAAAGTGGAGAGTCCTCAATGGTAGCAGCAGCGGCCGCTACAGTAACAGCCACGGCAGCTGCAACTCCAGTGGCAGCATCTGAGGCTGAGGTTCCATCAAGAATTGTGAAGCCACAAGGCCAACAGATGGCGGCAAGCATCATAGACACCAAAACTACAGCTGTCAGTTCTTCAGTGGATGCGAGCATTTCATCCTGGTCGATACCGTCTCAGTCCATTGTGGATGACTCGAAATCGCAACAGAAAGAAGGCAAGCCTCCTCTCGAACTGATTCAGCGACCACCAGTACTGGCGCACTCCGGCACGCCAAAGAGCCACGGAATTTTACAAGCTCCTGTAATCCATGGCAGGCCTACACAACAAGCACTTGTTACAACCATGTCACCATCAGAACATCAGAAGGTGCCTGCTGCTCATGTAAGGCCCGAGGCAGCCATAAGCAAGCCATCTGAGATGCCCGTTGGCCCTGCCGTAGCAGCCATAAAGATTCCAGAGCAGCACCCGCCCAGCAACATGCCCATTAGCACATCAGTGCCAACAGGTGCCATGCCGGGCCACTTTATCGGTGCAAAGGACTGTCACTGCCACAAGTGGGACAGCCCCCCGTGTCTCTGGGGCAGCCACCAGGTGTCTCTATGGGACAACCATCTGTGTCACTGGGACAGCCATCTGCATCAGTGGGGCAGCCCGCAGTGTCACTATGTCAACCTGCGGTGTCTCTCGGACAGCCTTCCATGTCACTGGGTCAACCTCCACTTGGTGTGTGGGTTGGGCCCCGTCCGCCCATCGGACCCCAGTACCCATCATCATTTACCAGCCTGACGGGACAGCAGCATCTGGTTAGGGGCGTGCATCCTTCAGTGGTGCGTACACCGTCGCTACCGCAACAAGAAGCTGCCAACAAGATGCCTGGCGCTGCGCATGCAATGGTTGGAGGGCCCAACCCTTCACAGGTGCACTGCAGTCAACCAAAGATGGAGGTGAGTAGGCCACACTTACGCATATTGTTTTGGCACTATTGCACACAAAGCATGCTTGTTTTTCCCATTCTACTTGCTTCTGGTGTGAAGAGTGACAACATTGGTATAGCATTGGTTGTACAATCCTGTTGGGCTTGTATTCCAGCTGCACCTTGGGAGTGCCCTGCACACTGTACCCGAATGGCTAGAACAGCATGAAGTGCAAGCAGTCTCTAGAGTTTTGTTTGCAGTGATGTGAAATGTAGATTAAAGGAATATATGTATCAGATATGTGTTGTTCTTTCCTTTAAAGTGTTGCTGTGTTCCTCATACATTGTCATTTCTTTTTTTTTTTCACATTCAGGGCCCAGCATCGCAGCTGTCGGCACAGCAGCCCCACCACCATCCACAGCAACACATCCAGTCACACCCATCACATGCGTCGCAGCAACACTCGCAGCTGCACGCACCATCACCTCACCAGCAGCTGATGCAGCAGCAGCAACAGCAGCATCAGGTACCACAGCAGCAGGCATTGCAACACCAGCTGTCTCAACACCACCATCAGCAACTACAGCCACCATCACAGCAGCAGCACCAGCAGCAGCACCAGCAGCAGCAACCACAGCAAGGTCCGGGCTTGCACCCGTCACACCACCCGGGTGAGATCAAGGGAGTGCCCGTGTCGGTGACCCAACACATTCAGTCGCCGCAGCAGCCGCATGTGGTCACCTCAGCTCACATCAAGGCCGAGGGCTTTGCTATGCCATCGCAGGCCATGGGACGCGTGGGCTCCGCGTCTCGCACACCTCCGGCTCCAGTGCCACGTCAGATGACCCTGGTGGAGGGAGTCGTGGCCAGCAGAAGCCAAGGTCCTCCACAACCACAAGGCCCTGCCATAATGACCCAAGCACCCACGAAGATTCATGAACAGAGGGCACCGGTCGGATCCAAGGGATCCCTGTTGGGGAACCAGCATGCTGCAAAACAGACTGGTGGCTTCCTTCAACCCCCATTCGGGGGTTACGAACCCTCAAGCATGGTGAGTCTGGTCCCCAAATTCCTCTCATTTTTTGTTATTGAGGAATTCACTATGTGCACATTGATACCCTCATACCCTGGTCTTAGGGCTGCTTTGTAACTTCCTTCACTTGTCAGTTTCAAAGAAAGGCCTCATTTCAATGAAAAATACTTGCTGTTTTTTTTTTTTTTTTTCACTGCATGTGTTGTCAAATCAAGATTTGCAGGATTGTACAAGACTTCGGCGATAAAAAGTGGTGTTTCTAAATGCACAATACTTATGTACATGGCACAGTCTCTACTGTTACTATGGAACAGACCAATCTATACTATAGCTTGAGGCTACTTGTGGCAGCTGTATGTATGAGTTCACTTTGCACAAAATGCCAATTTCGCTCAATTGCCATGTTCACAGCCCGGAAGCTCGCATGCTGCCACTGGGGGCTCAACTGGGGTGGCTGCACCTGGCGGAGGCGTAATAGCCGAACTTCTCCAGAATCCACACCTTATGCAGCAGCACAAAAACTACCAGCTAGCTGTTGCTGCTTCACAGTACATGGGAGGCGGGCCGTTGGGGCGACCAGGAGCGAGCTTGCATGTTGGTGGCCCCAACCCCACCGCCACACCGCCTCAAGAGCTGCTGCACCTACGTCCTACACCTGGTCAACAACTGCTGGTGGCTGGCCACCTGGGCATGCACACGCCAGAACTCTCAGCCTACATGCACCACCAGCAGATGCTGTATGCAGCGGCACAGCAGCACCCTCACTATGCCCTGCCGCCCGAAGCACAGGGGCTGCGGTTCGCATACCCAACCGGCGGATTCAGAGCACCACCCGAGCCTCGTGAGGGCATAACAAAGGAAGTTCGACCACCGCCGCCGCTCAAAGGGAGCGATGCGGAGCCCACCGTAGCCGAAGGAGCGCCCAAAGAAGTCCCCAGCAAAGAGTTACTGCGGCCGCCATTCCCACCTTTGCGACAAACGAGCCCCCGGGTGGCCTCGTCACCGCAGGAGCGAGTGACAGACTCCCCCGCGGTGGCCAGCCCCTACGGTCTGCGGGGGGCCGGTCATCTCGGGCCCGCGGACAAGGGTCCCTCCTCGGACGAGCCTCCCAAGCCTCCTGTCGCCCACCAGGGCTTCCATGAACCGACGGGGGGCCTGGGGGGCTCGCCGCCCTTCCTGCACTCGCCGGGAGGCGCGTTGGCTCTCAAAAAGGAGGCCGACGTGGCCAAGAAAGGGGTTTCGTTCGATCGGCGCCAGACAGGCCTCGAGGCACCTCTGCATCTCGGCCCGCCGCCTGCGCATGCCTTGGCACCTCCACCTGCGGCACCTCGATCTCAGCCACAGACACCGCCACATGCCAGCCAAGTGCCTCCACAGGGGGACTCCTTTTTGTTACAGGTAAGCACACAGCTGCCTGCCCATTCATTGACTGTCCTCACTTTGTTGTGTGCCACAGTCTTCAATTGCTGTGATATGTGCCAGGAAGAATGTTTTTACTAGTAATTACATTCCAGAATGAAACTGAAGTTAACATTAGATTGCATTACAGTGTTTTATCTAAAATGAGTGTTGAAAGCTGGCAGGATGAATTTCTGGTACTTTCACATGAATTTCACTATACACAGGCATTTGGGAAGGTTACATAAATGCTCAAGCTTTCGAATGACCATCAACTGGGCTTAGTGAATAAGGTATTGTAATGATGAAAGAGCACAAACAAAACATAAACACAAAGGAAAGAATGGGACACATGCACTCAAACCTACGCCATGTCGAAGCCTCTTGTGCCACAGCCTTGCAGTGCAAGTCCCATAGCCATCATTCATACCTGAGGTGCTATATTAGGTGTCTGCTAAGATGACTGTCTTGATCGGGGTGAGCTTAGTGCCTGCTGTCTTGAATGCTGCTGGCTCTCCGGGCACAGCTGATCAGAACTAATTGACTTAGACGTTCCACTTAGTGGACTCTTACAGAATACTGCTACCGCCATTAGTAGAAGCCTGCCTAACAAGAGGCTGGAGTATGGCCTTAAAGAGTCTTTGAACTTGAGGAGTGTCTTTTATCTTGTAGTCTTTGCTTGCATTCGGGGACTGGTGCCATATCGACTCCATGTACAAACTAGCTTACCAGTCACCACTGAAAAGGCACTGAGAAGGCACTATTTCTGTGCACTAATACTGCGTGTTGTGTGTGCAGCGCTACCCTGTCATGTGGCAAGGCCTGCTAGCCCTAAAGAACGACCAAGCAGCCGTGCAAATGCACTTTGTGTCGGGCAACTCCAGGATTGCGGTCGCGTCCCTTCCACCCATGACCGACGGCTGCACGCCTCCAGTCCGCATCGCCCAGCGGATGCGGCTTGAGCAGACACAGCTGGAAGGAGTTGCTCGAAAAATGCAGGTGAGTCCTTCCACCTTCTTATTCATTCATTCATTTGGCACTGTTGGGTCTGTATAAAACGAGCTTGTGCGAATATTCAAACCAATATTGCTGTATTCAAATTCGCTTCGATTCGAATTCAAATTACTGAAATTTCGGAAGTATTCAAAATGGGCAATTAGGTGTATAGGTGTATATTAGTTTGCATGTAACCTTCCGCCAAGGTGGTTTAACTGCAGTAAAGGAGTGATAAGCCGTGAAAACACCTATGCAGGAGAAATCAGCAGTGCTATGAAGCTACACATCAAGGTTAATTAAATGAACATATTACGCTCACAACGATTCATAATTTTTTATGTTTAAAAGCTTGGTATTCTACCAGCTCATTTGCGCTAAGTATAGTAAATTCTAAAATGTAGCATATTTTACAGGTTATCGCTTGCATTCTATTGCAAGTCGAATTCTGCTACTAGTCAATGTTTCCACTTCCATTGAAGCAAAAACTGGCATTTGCGCTGGCCTTGTTTCAACTTAGATGTTGTGTCGGTTAGTTGATTCTGAACAAATAATCCATTGTTCTTTATTATGTGTAATATATACCATGCAAATTCAATTAGATTCGACCAAAACCACTATATGCTTCGAACCTAAAGTTCACAATTTGCACAAGCCTAGTATAAAAGCTCGGTAAAAGGACTTAGTAGGGATGTAAAATGCAGTTACTGCTTTAACGAAACGTCTGCCTCTAGTTCGATTGGTTTTCTTCATTGACTACTGCACTCGTGTACTTTATTGATTGAAACTCTGCGACTACTCCAGTTTTACAATAAAACGTAGCCTCTGCTGCTTTACAGCAGGTCTGGGTTTGTGTACGTAAGGCTACTTCACTATGAAAAAACTTCATTATTTATTGTCCGTTTCCTCGCATTGACTCGACTTACTAACATCCACTGTCGTATTTGTTATATTAATTTGTTTATTCTTTTCCAACTCTTTATGTAACACTTCCTAATACAGTCTTAATGAGATAGTGGGATGTTATATTGAGTGATACTGTGACATGCATGATTACGTGGCATTGATTTTGCATCGTTTTTGTTTTTAATTCCTTCCAGATGTTGGATGAGCACTGCATTCTGCTAGCCTTACCCTGCGGACGAGACCACATGGACGTACTGCAGCAGTCCAACAACCTACGAAATGGATTCATCAATTACCTGCAGCTGAAGCAGGCTGCTGGCATTGTCAACGCGGCCGCCCCCGGGTCTCAGCAGGTGAGTCTTTTGGCTTAGAGAGTATATTGGTAATTGTTTGTGTTTTGTGTCGCTAAACCACATTAAGAGCTTGAGGAATGCCGCCATAGTGAAGGGCTCCAGAAATTTCGACCGCCAGGGGTTCTTTTAACGTACACCTAAATCTAAATACACTGGCCTCCAGCATAATGCAATCGCCACAGCCAGAATTTGATGCTGCGACATTCGAGTCGTCATTTGAGCACCACAACCACAGGCAACTCTTGACTTTGGTAGTAATCAGTGTACTGTCCGGCACTGATGGTGAGGAGCGCTTTGGTTTGTCACTTCAGTGAACAAAACCGAAGATGTAAGAGCTTATCACGGATTGATGAAAGTATAGTTGTGCTTGTGTAAGGGCAGTGTAAAATGTTTATATCACTGTGACGCAAGGAATTTTAAAAATATGAAGGCTCTCTCTCCAGCCAAGCTTGGTTTTTAGTTTTTAATTTTAATTATCTCACCGAGCCAGACAGATTTCTGTCAGATATGCTTACCTGTAAGACATTTGTTTAAATGTGCCCAGGTTTCTAACTGTTGAGCAATATCAACGTCATCAGCAAGAGAAAGCATTACGAAAAATACCACGACCCTTTCCTGGAGTAGGGGATGCTTTATTGTGATGATTTAAGACTTCAATGAGCATAGAATGATTGCCTCGGAGCACAAGGCTTGTTACATATTTATGGAAAGTGTTACCACGCAAGTGTTACCAGAACTTCTGGCATTGTTCGTTTCTCTATTTGATCGCTCTGCGTCTCATTCGTCCACTCTAGCGCAGCATGATGTGTACCATGTTGAAAAACAAAAAGCAACATAACCTGTGATAAAGCCAATACAGTCGAATGCCGCTTCAACGAAAAGTCTGGTACAACGAAAGATCTCGTTCCTCGTAAGCAGTCTATAGGAGTCAATACATAAATATTTTCGCCATAATGAACATGTTTCCTTCTGTCGTTCCACTTGAACGAAATTTTGACAAAGTTCCTGTCTCAGATATTTAATGCCATGCAGTAAACACAATCTCGAACATTTTGATGCACTTTTATGACATAAATGCAGCAGAGCCTCATTGACATGTTCCCGGCTCCTACGCTCGCAATCGCGATAACTAAATTAACCCGTTTCGGATCTCTAGTGTCCGGGATCGTATGTTTATTTTTCGCGATTTTTTTTTTTTTTTCTGAAAACATACACTGGAGGTTCTGAAGTCTAAATTATGTGGTGGCACCCCCAAAAACCGCCAATGTTTACCAAGCACGGGGGCTGCCATTGCTTGATAGCAATGAGACTGCCCTGCCTTTCCCACTGACTTGCTTCTTAGCCGCAGATAAGCTAAGTGGGGTGGGGTGTCGCTCAGCTGTCCGCGTTACTGCTGGGTCCAATCGCAGAACGATGGCTTTTCTGAGGCCAATTCTTTCTCCATTGTCCAGTATGGTCGCTGGTCAGAGCAATGCAATGATTCGTTCTTGTCATCAAAATCAGCCAGCCGTGACTAGTGGATGATAAGAATAGCATAGAAGAAGGTATAAGTCACCGCTCCACGACACCACACCAGCACCTCAGCTTTCTTGGATACCTTGTTGACGGTGGATAGCTGCTAGTGTTTGCCTATTAGTGCACCTGTGCCTTTGTTGGTTAGTTCGTGAAAGCCATTGTTTCAGCATGCTTTTCAACAGAGCGTAGCTATGTGTGTGTGAGAATCGTATCATGATGCATCTGGGAAATAAGTGGAAGCAGTTGACACCTTTTGAATTTTGGTAATTAAAGTTTCGTTTTTTTGCTAGCTCAGGTCAGCTGTATTTTTTTAGATTTCACTACAACGAAATTTTCGCTTTATTTGCGAAACTTTTTCTCCGCCCTGTCAGTTTCCTTGTAGTGGGGTCTGGCTAAAATAACAAGCTTTCACCTTTATTGAAAATAAGCCATGGGCATCCATCATTGGAGGTGCATTTTACGCATAAAGAAAGTGCTCTGTTAGTAAAACCCACGTAGTGAAAAGTAATCAGGTGGCCCTTTAATCACATCATGGTCTTGGCCTGTAAACCCCAGAATTAAGTGTAATGTGATGACCAGGAGGCGTACCGAGACCCATATATTCGCTCTCTCACGTTTTGCAGCCGGCCTACGTGATCCACATTTTTCCTTCCTGCGAGTTCTCCAATGAGAACCTGGCACGCATCGCACCAGACCTGCTGCACAGCGTCAGCGACATCGCCCACCTGCTGGTGATCATCGCCACCGTGTGAACGAGGGGACGGAGGACAACAAAAAAAAAAAAGACTGTCCGCGGTTCCTTTTGCTCCCCTCAGGCATTCACGTCTAAGAAACAGATCTCGCCGTCAACCTGTCCTCGGCAGACAAACAAAAAAGACTTGAAGTGTGAAGTCCCGTTGTTCCGCACAAAACTGTGAAAAGAAGTGAAAAACAACCAAAACCCAAGAAACCAATGGTGCTCTGCTAACAACTTCGTTATCTTTTGGCCACTTGCATATTATGGCGCAGAGAGTTTTATGGGAGACGGAGGGACGGCAGCTCCGCGCCTCCACCACAACCTGCCCGAAACCCCAACGCCTGTGTTGCCTGCTTTTTTTTTTTCCTCCCTTCCCGGGAGTTGCTTTCGCGTCGCCGCCACGAGCACCGTGCATGCAGTTGGTCGCTGCCGTCCCTCATCTTCGCCCCTGTTTTCATTTCCTGTGTTGTTGAGAGAGAGAGAGTATGTCGCACTACTGCATTTGGGTTGGGTGAAGGTCGGGCAAGTCGAAGATTGTATGGGTGACACTTGCGCACCGGAAAACGAGGGGTGGGGCGGGCGAGGTGTTTTTTCGTTTCGTCGAGAGTTCTCCCGTCATAGTGTCTTGTACATAAGTGATTGATGTGAATGTGTACATATATTTATGTATACATACAGTATATATATATACATACACACAAATATATATATATATACATATTATGTATATGAAGTAATAATCTCCAGTTAAAAGAGAGCATCTCCAGTCTTTAACGTAGAAGGCTGGTTCGAACGTTGGAACAGAAGAAAAAAAAAAAAAAAGAACAGAGATGCATTGAGAAAGCGAAGAGAGAGAAAAATACGCGCTATATATAGATGCAGGCTCAAACTACCATGTGATATAAGTAAATAAGGCAAAGATTTTCCGTGTGTACATATTATTAGCCGAGGCGAGAAGGTTAATTGTGCTCTCCTTCAAAAAAGAAAACTGTTGTCCAATGCATGTGTGTGTATGTATGTACGTATGTATGTAGGTGTGTGCATATTGACAACAGTAGTATTGTACAGTTTCTGTATAATGTTTCACTCATAGAAGAAAAAGGGTGGCGCGAAAGGTGTTTTTTCTTCAAGTCAGGGATTTCATTGCCACACACGTACCACACACACACTACACCACATGCGTGTGCTTGCTTAAATGGCATGCGGAGCCGCGCAAAAAGATTCACGTCATTGTACAGAGTGTTGTCACGAACTGCTCCTTCGTTGCGTAAACAAAAGACAACAACAAAAGAAACAAAAACATGGTTGTGGAGAGCGAGACGTAGAAACCACCCCCCGCAGGATTGTGAAGTGCGTTTCCTTTCGATGCATACCCAGTGTACATTGTGTTGTTGCATATTGCACAATTTTTTTTTCATCAACACGGACTATATGTTGCATCAGTGACACAGTGTTATGCGGCTTTTTTTCTTTTTCGATTGTCGGTCACTTAAGATTGCTCAGATTGTGTACAGCAGTTCTTCGATTTTTCTCACATTTCTCATTTTCATTCATTGTGTTTAGTTGTACAGAAGAAAAAAAGATTGTACCTGGCATAGTTTTTAATTTTTTTTCTCTTCTTGTTATTGTGAAAAAGCGAACCTTTGTGCATTTTATTCACACTTTACAGAGGGTGTTGATTTTTTTTTTTTTTCTCGATCACGGAGACAAAATGCTTTTTTCTTTTTTTACCCGACCCCCTCATTGCTTTCTGGGAGGAAGGGATGGGGGGTGATGTCTAGGTGGTCAAGTCTAGCGTGACTGTAAATTTTGTACATAAGCTGCTACGTGTGCGTTGTATTGTCTGTACATTCAACAACAAACCTTTCTCTTCAAAATTTAAAAAAAAAAGGAAAAGGGGGGGAAAAACGATTCTTTGTGATGTCTTTTCAAAGCCACACCTCACATTTCTCAAAGTGGAAAAAAAAGTTTGCTCGGAGGCGTACGGCAGTCCGAATGAGTTGAGACGCTTGTCACCGATTGATGGGATGCTGATGAAGTGTTGGTGTTTCTTGCAAATTGCATTTTTTTAACCCAGTGATTTTATTGAAAAGCAAAGTTTATGCTATTTATAGTTTCTCTGCGTGTTTGATGATGAACCGCATTTTAATCAGCAAGCGCAGTTCCACATTAAAAATGGACATTAGGCATTGCGTTTGTTTTGCAGCGGGCATTGCGGTTCACGTAATGCGATGCTTGCGTTGAAAGTAACAGTGTGTGTGAAATGTTTTCCCACATGCCAATTGCTGCTTAACTCTTTTAATTTTGAAATTTAGGGAGAGGTACTTCAGATAGATGCACAGGCAAGGAAGGCGTTGTAAGAGAGAAAAGGGGGGGGAAAAAAGGGTGTGGACAAGGTAATGGTCGAAAAAACACGATGCACCTTAGTGTGTGAGGGGGTGGGGGGCGTGAAGAGAGGGAGGGGGGTCGCCGACTCCTCCTTGCCGTTTTTCTCCCGTTTGCTCAAGCCATTTTTTAAAGGAGTCTCTATCTATATAGTACTACCAACCGGTGTATCGTCAAGACGTTTACTACATTGTGGGGAAATGTCTCCCAGTCGTTTCTCAAACACCAGGGCAGGATTTTCACTTCCTTTTGATGCGACCCACGCGTGCGTTGCAGAGGAATAAAAAATGCGTAGGAAGGGGCGTTCCACTACCTTAACCAAACGACTGTTCTATATTCTGTTCTCTCTGCTACTCCAATCATTGTTCACATGTGCGCTCCATTTTTAATGTGTGAAAGAAAAAAAAAAGTGTTTACGTCAACTGATTTTTATTGTCTGTGGCTGGATGTCATAAAAAAAGAAATAAGGGGGCCAAACCTGGGTCCCCGCGCACCCCCGTCCTCCCCCTTGGCTACCCAAACTTGTACATAGTGGCATCCACCGAGGGGCGCCTTGGGGGTGGCCGGCAAGGTCGCCTTGGGCTGGGTTTGACACACCACACCCTCGCAAGTTTTTCTTCCCCCTTTTTATCCCATTTCTTCTCATTTTTTATTTTTAATTTCTTTTTTGTCCATACCACGCAGAGCAGTGATACACATAAGTTATTAGTAACGTAAATAAAATGAGGAGGTGTAACAAATGAAAAAAATTGTCTCTTTTGTCTTGTTTCTTTCTCGTCGTGTGGCGCTTCTCCGGTGGCACACTTGTGTCACTGCGCAAGAAGAGAGCCCTTGGTCAGCGCACCACACACGAGCGTTGTCGTACAGCGGAGCGTCATATTGATCAAACGTTGCATGCATACCTAATTTGGCAAAAATTGCTGATGCTTTTATAACTCTAATCTCTCACTGGTTCCTCGTGTTGAAAATATGCGTGAAGTGCTTTGCTGCTAGAGCCAGTGACAGCTCACCGAATTGAAGAAGTTTTAAAGGTAAACTTTGATTTTTGCCCCCGCATTCCGAAACACTCCTTGACTTGAACTAAACTTCTCACTGCGTCGAAAGCAGTGGTTGACCAACGTCTGTGCTGGCTTGACACTGCTTAAAGACTGTACGTTAGAAACATGTTTGTGGTGCATTCAAGATGGTGGCAAGTCAAGTTCAATTCGAGGAGCATTTTTGAGATTGCTTTTCCATGCATATCAAGATATAATTGTCATGTTAAATCTTTTTTTCAAAAAAACCTTAGCATAAATAATAGATGGAGGCCTATCAAAAAGAAGACTGCCTGCCAACAGTGGCATCAGCAGAACACTCTCTGAGGAATCCCTATCAGTTTCCTTTGAACCTCTGCAATACTGCAAGGATGGCAGTTTTACAAGAAAGTCGTATTAGACTATTACTTTGATCACGAAATTTCCTCAGCCCTGTTGACAGAGCAATAGAATAGAGTGGAAACTATTAGAGAATTTAAGCAAGAACTGCCCATTTCCAATTAGGCATTCCATACACACCCACTACTTTTTTACAGTAAAGCACCAATCAAATGTAGACGGAAGGGCAGGTTCAAGTAATGAGAACACATTTCCCCGTTTAAGATTACCACTGCATAAGCTGAACTTCCCAGGAAGCCGTGACTGTAGATATGAATGGGGTGACATTACTATACTTTCATATTGTTGCGTGCCTGACGAAAAAGAAGAGCCCGCCTTGCAAATGATTTAATTTATGTTGTGATAACGGCAACAAAAGGCTGTGAACTGTTAGGGCTTCCCAAAGAACTGCAATTTGACATCAAGATTTTAGTTGGCTTTCTGAAATTGATTTCGCGTCGAGGAATCGCTCGCATCACATTGGCTTATTTGAAGAGGTAATGTCGCAGCTTAACTGGCTATGCGCCTTCTGCGCGTGGACGGGAGCCCAATTTTCCTTTGCTGGCTCCCTCCGTCACAATGCTAAGCGATTTCTATGACGTACTATTGTTAGCACAATAACACTCCAATGCACAAAACAAAAATAGTGCAAAAAAGCCTTCCAGTAACAGCTTACTTTTTCTATATTAAGATGAAAGTGTTTTATGCTGGGGTCCACCAAGACTTCAGTGACGTATTTGGGTTAAGAAAAGGACGCTGAGAAAATACGCACAATCAGAAGACAAAGAAAAAAGTTCCGTCAACGGGACTCAAACCCATAACTATAGATGCTGGGCACTCTACCTACTACGCCATGCCCACATGCTTTGTAGCCTTTAAAAAAAGTGTCTTTTATATCAATTAATCTCTTTTTGCAGCATTCTTGATAAAGTGAAGTAATCCATCATGACCGTGGTATCTGCGATTAGTCCCTTCAACGTGTAATTTTTAAGTGGCGCATTGAAGGCACGTTTTCGTTTGAGGCATTTTTCTAAGCGGCTCATTCATTTTTCTAAGCAGCCCAAGTTTAGTAATGCCCCTTCCACTCATTCATACTGAGAATAGCTCTACGATGACTGCCAGCTTTGCCTGGCTTTAACTCTGTGCTCCCTGCTTACGCTCGCTGCGCGAATAATCGTGGTAAACCAAAGGGCAGAGCCATTCCTACGATGGAGGAACCAACCATATTTTTTCTACCCCACAGTGCCTGAAATGTGAAATGTTAGCAGTATACTTTTTGAATCACCGAGATTATAACGATACTTGTCTACTGGTCGAACTCATTGGTATAATTCGTGATGCAAGAGACAAACTTAGAATGTATTTGCACAGAAATGAACTTCCATGTCACTCAACTGCATGTATCTCTACGAGTATGTTGTGAGGCCCTACAGTTACATGTAGCAAGGTTGAAAAACACTAATCAGCTGTACATGCAATCGTGAAACAACTTTTAGTAATTCATGATTGGGATAAAGTAGCCAGGCCACAGGAAAGATACAGCAGCACATATGAATAGGTACTTAGTACATACCCATGCTGGCTTCTTTGCTTGGTTGGGTAGCAAGTTGTGGATTCGCATGTGCTTGACCATCTTGCACCCCTCGGCGGTACGTTGAAAGTCTGGGTCATATATTGCTGCACGCCACATAAGTAAGAACTGCAAGAAAGTGAGAATTCAGTAGGAAAGGTCTTCTCTTTGCTCAGTCACTTGTGTCACCAACCTCGCGGAAGTTGAGTGTTCCATCCATGTCCTCATCGAAGTACTGGACGATAGCATGCAAGGCACTCGGGCTGATGGGAATTCGCAGGCATTGAAACATGTTCTGGATTTCATGCCCGTCAAGCAAGCCATCCTTGTTCATATCCCATCTGAAAAAAAAAAATTAAAAATTATTGCATTATGAGAAAATTGGGGTTGCTAGGCATTAATGGTGCGAAGAGTGGGGAAACAATAGAAGCTGGTGGCCTCCTCCTTTTTCTCTCACCCTCAATTCCCTTTCCCAATTCTTGCTATATGACACCGTACAAGATTGTGCTATACTTTACCCTGTCCACTCCTTTCCCTTCTCCTAGACCTTCCTCCTTTGTCTCCTCTTCCATAAAATGCTGCACAAGACTATGCAATGTTTTGCCCTCTCCATTTCGACCCATATGCTATTCTTAACCTTCTAGCCTCCTCATCTGTCACTTTCATTTTCCACCCGCTTGTTATACTACACTATACACCTTTCTACGCTGTCCTTTGCCCTCTCCTAGCCTTTCCTTTTTGACTTCCCTATACTGTACTATGCTATGCTTCACCCTCTTTCCTCGTCCGGCCCTTCACATCACTCCTCATGCACAATTCTCTTTCTCACCCCTTAGTACAGCATACTATGCCGTCTCCCTTTTCTCACTTCCCTTTCCCACCCTTTTGCTATACTATACAACACTCCTTTTTGGCGTTGCGCGGCATGGCATAGCTCGGTTCGCTCTCTTAACACGGGCCCCCCTTGCTCAACTAGCTTATAACATAGGGCAACGGAGTTTTGCCATCTTTAAACAGCTTTACTGCCAATAACGAACTTGAAGAAAGTCTGTGTGCTTCTGCGAACCTTGCAACTTTCATGTCGAGCTAAATGAAAAAGCTTTCAGTTAATGTGATTATGAATGCGTGCATGAATATGTGGTTAGCTTGAACTATACAGGTTATGATGCTCAAATCAGCCAATGACCGTGAATTTTGTTATATCACGCAGTCATTTTGGTATAGGAACATCATTTGTAGAAAGAATAGAGAACGATTTCTTGCTGACTTCGAAAATTGGGTGTGATTTTCAGGCACCGTGCTGCACCACAATGTCTGGCTCATGTGTTCTCAGAAGCCTCCACTGCTATTGGCAAGCTGAAGAAGTGTTGCAGGGCCCCCTTAGATAGCGAGCATCAAGTGTACACATGTGCTACGTTACCTCATACAACCAGTTGTGGCAGGCAGTTTAGGATCTTAATGATGGCACAAAAGGAAGGTGAAGCACAGACCCTTGCACGTGAAGTATTATATACGTAAAGAATAAAATTTACGGCTTGCTCACAGCACTACTATAGGCACTATACAATACATGCAGGGTTAGATTTTATAGTTACCTGTGAAACCAGTCGGCCAGAAAGGAGCACTGGTCTAGCGAGAACTCGCTGATAGCAGGGGATGACTTGCTCATCACCGGGCACACGGAAGCATCATGGTATGTAATTTGTTCGCCGGGCTCTCTTTGGTCTGAAAGGTTCTTCTGCACGACTTTGTCGTCTTCAAAAGTTGTGCGTGCCCATTTGATGAATTCTGCTCGACGTTCTGCATGGACCTTGTGCTGCAGTCGAGTGCTTCCTGCGAGAAAATTCTGACCATGGCTAGCAGTCTAAAAGAAAACATGCTGTCAAACTTACCTTCATAAAGTGACTTGGCCTGAGCTATGAACGCTGCCCGCTGCTTAGCCGCTCCTTCGCATAGTTCTCGCGCTTCTTGAACCCGGGTTTGAGGCAGTTTTACGTCAAAGGGTCGCCCTTCATCTCCTTGGTCAAGGAATCTTGATCGTACCTGTAGGATTGTTCATAAGGGCAGGAGTTTAAATAAGAAGTACATAAGGCATATTCAAATGGTCACAAGTAATTCGTACGTATGGATCACTGTAACTTTACCCATGGATTTAAAGTGTAGCATGTGCTGGGCTTTTTTTCGGAAGCAACAGGATAAATTTCAAACGCTTGCAGAGTTCGCAGCATGGCCTGCCCTTCAGGTGTTGACTGGAACTCGGAATTTTCAGCCGCCATCATCCACAGGTAAAGGAACTGCAGCGAAATGCATTCAGTTATGAATTGATATCCTACCATATAGAATTATGTGTGTAGCATATACCTCTCCAAAGTTGAGCTTCCCATTCCTGCTGTCATCTGCTAGGGCAATTAACCACTTGGCAGACATCTGTGTTACGTCCATTTGAAGACTCTTCCACAGGCGTTTGAGACCTTCTGCATCTAGCTCGCCAGTTTCCTTTGGATCCCCACTGTGAGCAAACCAAGGTAAAGTTATTATTCAATCTGTGCTTGACCCGGCTGCATGTGCTCAGACTCATTATTTGCCTAAAGTAATTTGAAGTTGCTCTCGGCAGACATTTTGCATTGGATTTCGGGCATCACCTCACAGCTTACTCACTTTAAAACCTTTTTGAATGTGTATAACCATGAGCAAAATAGCAACCATGGTTTACTTGCCTTCGTGCCAACTAATATCTTTAAAATTGAACAAATGCTTATTAATGTTATACTGGAAAATAATTTTATCCAACGTGCCAATACAATCAAGCACTAAAGAACAAGTGGCATTATCGGTACAATTTAAAAAATAACAAGGGATATGAAAGCTCTAATGTAAATATTCTATTTGTTGACTCGCTGCATTAAGAACCTCAGGCGCAGCAACACTATACGTATTTTATTTTCACACCTACTTTCCCAAAATGTAGGCACAATGCATGCACCATAATCACGAAGTCATTGCTAAAAAAAATTGGAAGTTATGAATTTTTCACACAAAGGGCTACTCGGCAAAATCCAACGCCCGTCAAATGGGTCCTGCAGAGCTGCACTTGACATGTCGAGGGGGTGGGTAGAGTATCTGCTTGTAATAATTAAGGAGGCACGGGCGAGGGGAGGACGCTTGGCCATCTCGTCTTTAAAGGGATAGTGAACGAAAACGATCAAAAAAAAAAAAAACTGATGAAACTTCGAAATTATGCTCGGAAGATGCGACTGTTCCGATGAACAGAGTTGATTTCCCTTATTTTTAACAGTTGACTGTATTTTCGATGGATTGTCAGTGCGCGGCGACCGCACGCGAGCGCGCGCCATGACGTCACAATTGCCGAGGCGCATGCGGGATGCACGTCGCTCACTTCCTTTCTCCCCCTCTCCTTTCATCCCATTCTCTCGCTTCGTCAAAAGCGCCGATGCTTTACTCCAGTCAGGAGCATGTTCGCTACCGGTACAGTTCATACACCGGTTCTGGGAACCGATTCGCTCGCAGGATTTCAAGCTAGACGGTTGTGCCCTCGCGATCTCCGACTTCAGCGTAGCTCCCGCCGACTGGTTCGCCCTCCGCGGTCTCCTGAAGCCGTGCAGCTCTCGCATTGTGGCACCCCGCCCTTGGACTGCTTCGACCGGATCCCCACTTTCCTATCTCCTTCTTTTTTCCTCTCGTTGGCTGGCTTCTTCTCCGTCTATTTTCCTTCTATTCTTTTTATCCCTCCTTCTTTTTCCCTATATCTTTTATTCCCCATATCCCATTCCTCTGCTGACCTGTTGAGGTGTCCTCGTAAGGAGAGACAGTTACGGGTCGGCACCTTTCTTTTCTCTTCTTCTGATATAACCACTTATATATATGGGAACCCTTGGGGGAGATACACAGAGTTTCATACTCTATGGGGAGATATGAGCGTGTGGAGAGACGCGTGGCAGCTTGGGCTAGTTGGTATGACATGACGATAGTTATAGCGTGAGAACAGAACGACGACACAGAGACAAGAAGGACACGAGCGGCCGCGACGGCTGGCTTTGTTGACATGCCCGTTTTGCGCGTTTGTGACTTCACAAAACACCACCTCCTGTAGTTCCGGTCGTGGCCACTAGACACGGAAGTTTGGGCAAAACGCATCAAATTCATCATTTTCCTGTAGCTTACCATAGAATGAAGCTAGTCTCTATTGATTTCAGGACCGAATCTTTTGTTTCAGTTTTGTTCAGCATACACGTCCTCCATGCTCCCTCATCAGGCGAATCGGTGGTTGCTTGTAGGTACTGGTAATCGAACTCGGGACCACGAGCCTAGCTGAATTGGGGACGGACTCTTTATCAAGTGACTCTGCGCCGCTGCGGGCATAAGCGGCGGTTCGTGCGGACGCCCGCTCCACCGATTGGAGCTCCTTTCTCTCTCCCTTCTGATGACCCAAATGTCCCCTCTCGTATTGTAGGCCATGCTGTAGCTTAGAGGACACAGCTCGGCTTACACGTGCGAGGTCAGGGCGCTTGCTGCAACATTGATGCACCGTGCAATTTTTAACTTAACCCCTTTCGACCCCCCTTTTCCTCCGTATTTACGATGACTTGTGTGGTCTGTGCTCTGACTTGGGATGCATTGGTGAACTTACCACCTGAACCAACGCTCGAAGATTTCGATGTCCCGCCGTGAGAAGACGCTGTTCGCGTCGTGCTTGGGATGCGTCACATCTCCAGCCATGACCGGCAAGTGACAGCAGTGACCGCACTGGAGGTTCCGAGTCGTCCAGCACCGCAGGGCTTGAGCTCGTGAATTCTGCGCTATGGGCGTTCGTCTACCATAATCCATGAACTAGCTTTGGTTTTAAAGTTGTGCTAGGTTCCTCGGGCAGGCATTTAGGCGCCGCCGACTGAACGCACAACGTGGCCTAATTGAGAAGCACGCGCTTGACGATGCTCGTGAGAGTGCATATGTTACATGCTTGCGTGCTCCTTGATTTATGGCTCCTACCCACCGCAGGAGCTCGGCCATGAATTGCATGTGGCTGCATGTTCTATGGCTGTTAACGTAGGATGTTCTTTCTTTGCTTTAATGGCTGCACGTTTCCATCAGAGCTTGATCAACTTACCGACGTAAACTGTTATTATCAGCCAGGTTTGTCATGTGGAAGCAATCACACGTTTCTTCTATTTTGAAGAACAAGACCATGCTATAATCTTTTCGATTGCAGTTTTTGTTCGTTCTTCATTTGTTGAATAAGAAAGCGAAACAGCAGTACAATAAAGGGCACTTCGGTTAACATGATGACTGGCGTGTTAGGGTCCTAACCGTGCATTCTACCATATGCCAATTTTAACTAACCATAGCCTCCTCCATACTAGAAAATATAGAGAAGGCTATCAGCATTGATATGGTCATCAAGATCCGTCGTTAGTCGCGTTAGCCGTCAGCGCATCGAATCCAATCCAAGAGAAGTTGTGTGTCCTCCATGCGGTGTTTCGTTGCTGCCGCATGAAGCTTTTCAGTTGCTAAAAGCCCACACTTACTTGGGTGCAGTGAATAACGCGCCGTTTTATCATGGGTCGCAAAGCAGACTTTAACGAAAAGCCAAAGAAACGACGATCGAGAAAATCGAAGATCCAGCCTCCGCCGGAGATACCAAAGGCCTTGAAAGGTAAACATTGTTTTCGGGCGCACGTGTTTGGTTTCTGCGTACCGTTTGTTTCGCGTGTCTAGCATGAAATTCTAATTTACTTACGTACCCTGCATTGCAGCGGAGAAGCCGCTGTCAAGGCGGGCGCTGAAAAAGTAAGGCTTCAGTGCACAGGCTTGCAGAGTTGGCAGTTGGCGGCATGCTCTTAACTACGCGTCAATTTCAGGTTGAAGAAAAACCAAGCCGTGAAGAACGCCATCACAAGCAAGGGGATCACCTAAAAAGAAAGTAGAAGGAGGTGGGTGTCGCCAGTTTCGCCAGCTGGCTCTGATCGTGCTCGTTGATAAGAGAGATCGGGGATACCACACCGGCATTGCTTTGACGCTTACTGCGCCGTACTATCCCAATTGGATTCTTTTTTTTTTTTCAACCTCCAGAAGAGGACGATGACCAGTTGACAGGGAAGGTCCAGTCATTTTCTGACGACAACAAGAAATGGCTGAAGCCAAAGGCGGCGAAGAAGCAGCTCTTGGACTCTGAAGATGACGGCTCTGACGATCAGCAAGAGGTATCACGACCTTCCGAATAAACTGGATAACCACTTTTACGTTTGCTCAAGTGTTGCGTATCGTGACTATTGTCATTGCGGAATCGCAGGATTTCGCCGAGAGCTCCGACGATGCTGCTATGGATGACGAGTTTGGTGGTTCGGAAAGCGGCGATGATGAAGAGGAAAGTGATGACGAAGAGGTATGACCTTTCTCGACTTAATTGGTGCAGTTAATAAGTAAAGCGTACATCGGGCTAGTTTATTCACGTGCTCATCTTTTTCAGCTGCCCATTGAAGCGGCATCACGGAAACTTCAGAAGAGACAGGAAGAAGACAGGTAAAGTTCTCTCGATTTTTAAAAATACATTTTATACGTGTGCCACATGGGCTCAGAAAGTGTCATTAACTTTCTAATGCCTTAAGGTTTAATCCCATTCGTTCAGTGTCACATGGGCTTATCGAGTAACATTTGTCTTAATGCCGTTTGTCACCTAATGCCTTCGGTAGGCTCCCATTAAACTGAGAAATGTATACACTCGACACCAAAACTTAGTCACTGAAATACGCGTAAAGCATTTGAAGTAGCATCGATCAAGCAGCAATATTTCACACATCACAATTGCATGTTATTTCCCAGTTGCACTATAGCAATTTTAACGTCAGAATTGCAACTCCTTCGACACAGGCTGGTGCCATGTGCGATACTGGGCTTAGAATCCAATCTGCAATGGCCAACATTCCTGTGATCTGTTGCTATGCTGTAAAAGACTGGGATAAACTCATGCTAATAGCATCATAATATGCTTACTTCTACAGGGCACTATCCCTGAATGCAGATTAGAGCTGCTAAAATGCACATTTATATTTTGTTATTGAGATTATTTGGTTAAATGCCATTACGGGGCATCTCCACTGAAAAAGAAAAAGGCATTACTCTGCTTGAGAACTATTTGTATCTTTCACATCTTACTCTCACTTTTTGGGAATGGCATGTGAAAACTGCTCATCTCCCCTAGCATCAGCTTGTTTAATGTTTTCCGTTTGGGCTTCAAGTACAGGGACTGCATTCACCTTCACAAAAGTGCACATTATCAATGTGGTTGTTATTATAGATAATCTATTGTTATATAAAATTTCTGCTGCATAGCACTGGAAAAACAGTGAACTAATGACACAATAATTAACTTATTGATAGGACAAACAGGTTGACACGACATTAGCACTGCATGACCACTGTGCTGATATTATTCTTAGTGAGTAATCACTGAAGCTGAATCGCCTGCAATGTTGTGTGCTGTTGCATATCTGCCAACTCAAGTGAAGTATGCACAACCGATTTATTCAAGCTTGTTCTATGGCATCTCAAATATTTTGCCATATTTTCACAAAAGAGAAGTTCTATATGCGGAAAATTTGATCATGTCAGCTTGTGACCATACCCTTAAAAGTTTTGGCTGTGAGTGATCACCAGAGGAGAAGTTGCTTAGAGCATGTGTCCAAATTGATCAAGTTTGGCAGCAGCAAAGTCACAAATAACAGCAGTGCCACTAGGGATGAATAAACAGTTCTTTGCCTACAATTTATAGCATGTCCGAATTCGCAGCTGCTTGCATGCTATGTGCAAATTTAAATCATCATTGGTAAAGTAGCGCATACCCTAAAAACATGTGTTCTCCGGACAAAATGAATTGAAAAAATGATGCTCACCATCTGCACTGTTTCAGTCTTGATTTTTTTTTGCTTGTTTCTTGGCAGTCACAGCTTGACAGGTATGCAGTTATCATCTGATGTTTTTCTTTGCATCTCTTTGCAGAAAATTAGCTGAGGAGGAGCTGAAAACAAACATAGCTGAATCTGATGTCTTCACACTTCCTAGTGGACAAGAAATCGAGAAGGAGAATATCCTTTTGCGTGTGGGCGAGGGGAAGGGGAGGCATAGTTACAGATACATTAAATAAATGGCGAACTGCTGTTGCATGCTAGTATCTCTGCATTGCCAAGCTTTATTCACGCATGTACTTAATAGTTGTACTGATTATGATTTTAGCTGAATAGCACATAAACCCCATACATTAAGTTTGCCTTTGTTCAATGTGGTTGCTGTAAAAGAGAGGCCATATGTGATTTCCTTAGATTTGTTCCTTAGCTAAGAATACAGGCTGAGCCTCCTGATCTGGCCATTATCAGTGAGAGGATAAAAGACGTCACATTTGTCCTCAATGACTTTGCGAACAGAAGGGAACCGACAGGTGGGTGCTTCTAAATAGAAAATTTATTGTTATTGTCAGACCTATGCAAGTTCGCATCTTACCTTTTCTTCTTTGGTTGCCTTGCCAACTCGCTCACATTTAGACCTTTATGGACTTGCTTTCATGCATCTATGCCCTCATTTATTTGGTACCTATTATCCACCTAACACATACACAAGGTTATAATTTAGAAGGTTTATTATGTTGCTATGTATGATATCCGGTTGTTGCATAGAGGGTGTCGAATGGCTGTGAACCTTTAATAGTCAGCCTCACATCTCTATGTAGAAAGCACTCATGAAGTGTGTTTTTGTACATAGGTCTCCAACTAACCGCTGTCACACTGCATATGTTGACACAATGGGAAGGGGTGTTGCTTACTTGAATTGTCTATTTTGAGTGTAAATGCAACTGCAGCATGAACACACAAATGCAGTATTGGGGTTAGTGTTATTTTGTTTTTGCTTCTGGGGAGCAAATAATACGTTTTCTAACCATGTTTTTCACAGGTCCCGTTCTGAGTATCTGGAAATTCTGAAGCGAGATTTGTGTGAATACTACAGCTATAACGATTACTTGATGCAAAAGTTTATGGACCTCTTCTCACCTGCTGAGGTAAGTGTACAGGCTTCAATCTGATACCAGCTTTTATTTGTGAGTTCTAGTTCACAGTCATGGCAGTTTGAGTCTGTTGACATTGTTGCGACTCCGGGTCCTGCGGGTCTCAGTTTGGTAGCGGGCCCCCGTCCTAGGACCCATCGTCGAACAAGTCAGATGAGGCGCTCGTAAGAACAACAACAATTTATTTACATGGTTAGTAACTGAGAATTCGAAAGGAAGTGATCAAGTGATCAAGTTCGAGAAGTCAAGAACTATACAGGAGAACCAATGAACTGCAGAACTTGAAACATACAGAAGTCTTCCGCTTGTATAGCGCCGTGTTGCCAACCCTGGGCGCATTGTTCGTGGCTTCAGCTAATACGGCGCTCGATGGTCTAGGTGCTCCACCCATGAAGGGGGGAAGACACCACACAATGCACGTGGAGAGGCCACAGTCTACACGATGCCCAAATATGGTCACAAACGCACTGCACCAACTTTTCGCACACGCCTCCAAGATTTCGCGCACATCCGATGATCTTGGATGACCTTGGTTTCCAGAACTCTTCTGGCAGTTCGGTGAGGTTCGAATAACCGGCTCCCGGTACATGTGCCAAACTTGCCTTACTGCGTTCGGGTAGGACAATGTAGTGGTCCGCCAGCTTATCGTCAAAACATGCCACTCCATTCAGTCGATCCTATGGAGAAAGGGGGAAGGAGGAGGGGTCGACTAATTCCTCGTCCTCGAGGCCCTGAGGCGGGCTGCCGCAAGGGCTGCAGCAGACAGTGCCTTTTCCTTTCCTTCAACCACACATTCCATTCCTCGTTGTTTGCTAGAAGGTGCAGCGTAGCTTGCGAATTTCGGGGACTTTGCTTCTCCTCGCAAGGTGCAGCCACAACCGGTTATGGTTTTAGCTTTCAGCCCAAACTGCAAATACCACGCTGGTTCCGGTCTCTCCAGATCCACGGTGACCTCGAAAATGGCCCAGCTGCCTCCTCACTTGCCTCGAAAGCCTTGCATAGAGTAGAGCTCACAATGACCTTTCTGGGCTCATGCATTTTCTTTGCGTGAACTGGTCCTGGACCCCTTGTTCACGTTTTGCTGACGAAAAAATCAACCCGTCTTGACGGCACATCCCTTGCTCGAATGCGTCCGAAATATTTAGTCCAGTTCACAAAGGCCGAAAGACTTCAATAATGATGACGGTCATAACAGCATATGCTGTTGTGTGTACTCGCGTAATGAATGCACCCCCTGCATTCATCCACTGCAGTCCCGCTAACCGACACATGGCGCCTCCTTGCTTGTTGCATCTCTTCCGTTCTTTATTATTATGCCAACTCCCCTCGGCCACCTCGACTCGCTCCCTCTTCCCCTTTGCCCGCTACCGCGCACCGTTTTGTTTTTCTGTGTGCGGCACGTCCCCAGTCTTTTTAATTATTTATCTGCCACAGTCGGGTTAATGAACGATGCAAGTGTAGAGACATCGCAGCTGATATGCACACACCGAGCAAAGGTTAAAAACTGCCCGTGCAAACCGACGGTCACTTCCTGCAAATACTACGAAAATTTAGGCCCAAACACATATACGCAATTTTCGAGCGACGACGACAGGATTTGCTGTTGCCATGGCGATTGCGAAGGGTCATCATCGCGTCGCAGGTTCCTGGAAAACCTGAAAAAAATCGCTTGTCACCCAAAAAGGATAGTCACTATTTCCGCAGCATAGTAGCACCCCGATTCTCTTAGGTTGCAATTCGCTCTTCAGTGCTTGTTATCCGGGTGTACTTCAAGGAACGCAAGATATAGGTTACCGTTTTACAGTAATTTCTCATGTGGATAGCGATGCGGGGGCCATATTTTGTCGTTAATCTTGTTATCGACGGTTTGTTTAGATGCTTCGGTGGTAGCTTGCTTCAGTGTCAACAGCGGCGGCGTGGTTGTCAGTGCGAGGTCGCCGTGAAGTTGGCAAAGTGTGTCATGGCGCACGCTTATGGCCGTCCCTCATCATTACAGCAGATACAACTGTTGCGATTAAACGGATTGCGAGAAAGACAGCAGCAACACCCTTTTATGGCGTGCGCGGGAGCAGCTTGCAGAAGATAGTTTCCATCAACCATCGAAGATGAGTGAAGTGCAACAAAGAAGCTGTTTCCAAATAGTATACGCGTATGTCAATTGCAAAAGGCTAAGCTGACCTAACTTTTTTGTGCTATTACCGCATTTTTCGCTCATCATGAAAAAGTTTTTATACAATTGGCCCCACATAATAAACGCACCCGCCAGATTTGCTTCAATTTTCCGAGAAAAAAGTGTGTTCATTACTGCGAGTAAATACGGTAATACACAATTTGATAGAGATAGCTGATTCAGTGGTGTCGGTCCGTTTCCCGGATGCTCATTCATATGATGTAACAGGACGGTTGCTTGACTTATGGACTTGTGACCGATCCCTATCACGTAAGCTTAAATGCCAATAACTTATCCCATTTGCTTTTCAAAATGTTTTCCGTCTTCCGTCGAAGGGCTTGCTAGGAACCAAATATATATTATGTGAATAAGGGATAGGCTATTTGGAATTGGCTTTTGCAGCGTAGTGGTGAGGGGAAATTGCTTAGAGAGAATTTAATTTTTTGGTACACTCGAATGATTGCTAATAATAACAACTGAATACGACAAGTAGTGAGTGCTAAAAATAATTGCTGGAGCAATTATTTTTGATAGTACTAAGCATACACATAGGATAGTCTCTTTTTCTTTTCTTATGAAGGAAGGTATTGTACTGCAGAACGAATGTTGGGCACTCCCAGTATAAGTGTAGTTGGGCTTTTTCTTTTTTTCGTCATCATTCCCTTTTTTAGCGAGGACAGACTGGTCAGCAAAATAATGCGATTGGCTTGGTATACCAAGTTCGAGTATAAGAGGAGAATGAATTAAGCAGTTTCAGGGACTGTAGATAGTGAATAATGTTCAGAAGGTTATATTCTCCCTATGTTAGCAATGATTATTATACTCATTCGCAAGTTCTTTTTTTTTTTTGCTTTCCGCAATTTTTCTGCAGCTGATAGAGTTCTTGGAGGCCAATGAGGTGAATCGGCCAGTGACGATTCGTACCAACTCATTGAAGACGAGGCGACGTGATTTGGCTCAGGTAAAGTGGTGTGGAGCCGAAGGAACGGCCTTTGTGAAGTATTCTTAACCATTACACAGCGTTTAGATTAGAGTGCTTTACCACAATAAAAAAATTAATGTGTAATATGTGAGTAAAGGAATGTAAAGAATGAATGTCTCAGCAAGCTCTGCAAAAAATAGAGATTGCTTCGGCTCTATAATTGAAAGTTATAAGTGCTTGATTGCAAGAACTGAATTCGTGCACCTTGTTGGGTGAGCACATTTCGCCGACCAGGTCGTAGGCTGAGCATCGCTTGTCGTGTTGCATTGGTGTAGCAGATAAAAATGGGTTTTCCATTTTGCAGGCTCTCATCAACCGAGGTGTCAACTTGGATCCAATTGGAAAGTGGTCCAAGGTTGGACTTATAGTCTACAACTCACAGGTCCCAGTTGGTATGGCTTCTTTTTTCTTTTTTTTTCCTTTCACACGGCTTGCAGAATCTTCCATGACCTTTTTATTGCATATGAGGGGCAGCTGTCATTCAGCTTTCACGCAGAAAGTTTAAGGGGCCATGATACGGTCACCCGATAATTTTCGGTTTTCAGTAAAAACTGGAATTAGAGGGTCTATTATGCCTGTACAGAAGCAAAAAAGCACGCCGTGAAAGAGTTTGTCAGTGCGTGGGCTTCGTTAGGAGGGTGCAAAAGGGCCGCCTGCCCCCTTCAAGCCTCACTTGCCCTCACCCAAGCTATACCAGTGCTCTTCCCTTCCCCCTGTCCCACAATGCAACAGTGGTTTGTACCCTCCTTCCCCCAAGAGAAAATCCTGCCGAGGACCATGTTTCAGTGCAAAACAAGCCCTAGAAGTCACCGGCTGTTAATCACGCCCACTGTCTGTGACCATTATTTTGCCATGACGACTGTGACAGCAAGTTAGTAACAGCAAGATAAATCTGAAAAAAAAACAAAAAAACTGTGTGAATGTTCAAAACATATATGTGAAATAAATGTATGTAGTTCACAGACATATAAAAGTAAGTTCACGGATGGCGTTAAGTGGGAACACGGAGGGGGGGGGGGGGTGAAAAGCCACTTCTGATCTAGTCCGCATCACGTCACTATGTATGCTCTTGAAATGTCACTCACTCATTAACCCGTGAGTCTGAACTAGTAAGTAACTCCTGTATGACGAGCTAACACTTACTAAAACAGATTCGCCCCGCCGCGGTGGTATAGTGGCTAAGGTGCTCGGCTGCTGACCCGCAGGTCGCGGGTTCGAATCCCGGCTGCGGCGGCTGCATTTCCGATGGAGGCGGAAATGTTGTAGGCCCGTGTGCTCAGATTTGGGTGCACGTTAAAGAACGCCAGGTGGTCGAAATTTCCGGAGCCCTCCACTACGGCGTCTCTCATAATCATATGGTGGTTTTGGGACGTTAAACCCTACATATCAATCAACTAAAACAGATTCTGATCTGGCAGTCGAGTGACAGTTCGGAGGGATCACCGCTTGACGCACTGGCAGTAGAGAAACTCGTGCACACGTCCATAGCACAAGCAAACTGTGCGGTTGAGTGCACTGAAGAAAACTGTGTAGCTGTGACTTTGTCCGGAAAGCAAAAACGATTCCGAAACCTCTGACCATTCGTCTTATAGCCGACGAGATGGAAGTGGTTTTTGCGAGTCCGCGAAATGGGAAACGCACCACTACGTCATCATTTGTATCAGTCAGCGCCTGCATGGAAACAGGCGTAACCGGGGAGCAATACAAGGGGGAGTAACAAATTGGCCACCTTTTGCAAAAATTCTAAACCAGAAAGCCATCAGTTTTGCGGGTGCAAGAAGTGGAAATCGGCCAAAGAGCAATATGAAAACTGTCCAGTGCACCACAATAGTAAAGCATTGTATGAAACGTAGACATATCAGCACAAAAGAAAGATTCCACGTATTCCCACAATGTGGGAGCGCCTGGAAAGCAAGAGAAATTATCGAAAAAGGTGTATGTTTTAAATATAGAGGCAATGATGTACATGATGTTTTTGAAGTTAAATGACAGTTGTCTGAAGTTTGGACCACATTTTGTTGGACAGGGCCCTTTGTTTCAGATAATGGGAGCCCAATTAAAATTAGCGAGGGTTGACTTCTGGCCTGGTTGATGCGATGTAATCCTAGTGTTTATCAGAGAAACTTTTTAGAAATGGGCTAACTTTTGCTTAATTTAAACACGGCTTGATTATAAGGCAGCTTATGTTTTATATATGAAATGAAACTATTTTCCTTGTGTGTTTTGTGCATTGCCAAACATCTCCTGAAGGAAAGAGCGGTGCTCTTGGTATTGGGAGAAGGTGACTTACTAACATGAGAAAAATTGTTTCTGTGATGATTTTCTAATTAAGAGAAATCATTATATCACCACTCAGAATGTCAGCTGCATGCAGTGAAACAAAAATGGATCTTTTGAACCCACCTGAACAAAGGTTATGGTATTGCATATTTGGGAATGAACTAACCTTTAAGAGGCACTTACACAGAAATTTTTTTTTGCTGTGATGTGTTGTGGGACGGCTGTTAGTCATAGCATGGCACGTCGTTTGATGCAGTGCGCCACAGATAATTACAGGCTCCTCACTACCAACCAGTCTCAGTTTTAAGGAGCTCCAAAAATGACAAGCTGCATGTTGCAGTTATCGCCACCTAGCGTCTGCAACGTTCGACCACGTCAGCGCACAGAACTGAGACGCGCTTCCGCATGGTCCACATCAAGAGGTCCTTTCGAACTGGAAACGGGACAGCACTGTCGCCAAGCACAAAGCTTTCAACGCGCATGCCGTGGCCACGCACTTGCGAGCAGCTGCCGAGTAGTCGCTTCCTAGAGCAAACACTGAAGAAAAAAAAAAAAAGGTGGTTATGATGTTATCATAAATTGTACTGACTGCAGTGTGGTGATGTGAGGGAAGTAGGGAGGTCACCATGGGGTCACTTTGGAGGGTGTCAATACCTTCACAATTCAAACTTATATAAATTCATGTTCAATACCTCCAAGCTACATGTGTTTGTTGTTGATATTGTGCAGGGAATATATACGCATCATCGTGGGAACGAATCCTGCAGGCTCTCTGATAAAATTTTGTGTCAGTACTCCTTAGGCTGGGATATGGCTCGGAAATGTTTGAATTCAATAAATTTTGCTCAAGTGAGCTTTGAACGTCCATTCTTGTTTTATTGCACGCAGTTCTTATCCTAGAATGTTGTGGTATGCTGACTTATGTGGTAATTTTCTCAGTTTAGGAAAAAAAAAATTCTTGCTCCTAACAAGCACATGAAGCATTTGATATCTGAAAACTTTATATTGTTCTAGAAAAATATTTTCGTATGTTTGTACTCTGCACACAAATACGACACATGAACTCATACGTACACCAAGTTTCACCAATATCGATAAGGAATATTGAAAAAAGTATTGAAGTGCAATGTCACTTCTCAGGCCGGATGAAGTTTCAATTTTTTTTCAGTTTTATTTAAATCCTTTATTATTTATACCGCACTCCGTGCACAGGTGCCACTCCCGAGTACCTGGCCGGCCACTACGTTCTGCAGGGTGCGGCCTCCATGCTTCCGGTCATGGCACTCGCCCCTCAGGAGAACGAACGAATCCTGGACATGTGTTCCGCTCCCGGAGGAAAGACGAGCCACATAGGTGGGTGCACGCACCGGTGGCTTCTGAAGTTGTTCTTTCTCAAAATATTACGAGCGGTTTTTCAAGGTGGTCGTACGGTGACGACAACATACAATGGTTGCATGGTGGACAGGCAGGCTTGCAACGTCAGTATGTGCGGTATCTGTTGTTATGCCAGCGAGTCCTCGTCAAACGTCCGTGCCTCTGAAAAAGGCAATCTGGGTCAAGGCCAGCCCGCAGTCCGCCTGGCGCGATCAACTCGACGGCGTGAACACGCGCGGCGCCTCTCTGGCCCACGTGCATTGAGTCAGCTGCGCACGTGACAGCGAGCCGGCGTCCTCGTGTCTGGTGGTCTGACGCATGGCGCGGCAACCCCATTGGAGGAGTCTGCCCTGACGACCAGCGGCGCTTCTGATTGGACATTTTGGTTGGACCCGGTGCAAATAAAAGAAGCCCTGCGGCGTGTCGCAATCAGCGGTCTTAGGCGAAAAGTTGACCTATGTATTAAAGAGGAGAGCTCGGCTCTTCGAGTCTCTGTCGGCCCCAGTGCCGAAATTGTAACGCCTCTGTATATATGCTGTACATAAACCTTGTTTAACTCACCGTCGTCTCGTCCGCTCGTCTTATCAGCTCTGCGCAGAAGCAGTCGCGAGCTGATAAACGTACGCTACCAAACGGGTGGTGACCTTCCCGGCGGAGTTGGAAGCAGTGGTGCCTTCGGGACCGTGTTGGCGTCGCCGTCTTTCGCAACAGTGGTGGCAGCGGTGGGATCGACCGGCGTCAGCGACATCGATGCGGTGAGTGCCTGATGTTTTCCCCTCAGTTCACCAGACTACTCTAGCTCAGGTTGTAGTAGTTTAGAGAAGGGCTGTGTGAAGCATTGAAGGGAGCTTTGATCGTTTCAAGCCAAGTCGAAGCGCTTTGAAACCAAAGTTAATGCGGAGGGGGTAAACACGGGAGTGTGCAAAATTGCTTGCGCGTCTTGCTAGTAGAATTATAGTGGGTACGGCAAGTAGATTCTTAACAGGGGCAAACAGCAAGAGGCTAGTGTGAACGATGGAGAACCTTAAAGTGAAGGAACTCATCGAAATTTGTGAGGAACTCGGCATTACTTTGGGCCGTGCGAAACGAAAGCAAGCGATCCTTGAGATCATGAAGGATGAGGGAGTGTCGGCTGAGGAAGTCGATGAGGCCTGGGTGGATATCAAAGCACGCCGCGAGGAAGCTGAAAGGCGAGAAGCTCGCGAACGTGAAGAGGCTGAAAGGCGAGAAGCTCGCGAACGTGAAGAGGCTGAAAGGCGAGAAGCTCGCGAATGTGAAGAAAGGCGAGAAGCTCGCGAACGTGAAGAAGCTGAAAGGCGAGAACGTCGCGAGCGCGAGGAGGCCGAGAGACAGGAGCGCCTCGAGATGAAACGAATAGAATTGGCAATCCTACAGTGTTCGCAGGTGCCTAGCGCAGCTTCTCCGACGATTCAGGTCAGCGGTATTAGAATTCGGGATCAACTGCCACCGTTCGTAGTAGGCGAGGACATGGCGAAGTATCTCGTCAAGTTTGAACACGTCTGTGAGCGAAATGCTTTGGAGCAGTCTCTTTGGGCGCGGAACCTGCTAGCTCTTCTTCCCGGCGAAGTGTCCGACGCGATAACTTGCTTGTCGAGGGAAGCGTTTGAGAGCTATGACGAGGTTAAGGAAGTGCTCTTGAGACGTTATAAGTTGTCACCCGAGGCTTTCAGGCAAAGGTTCCGGTATGCTAAAAGGGGGAATGAGTCACACGTTGACTTCGCGTTTCGTATTAAAGCCGATTTGATTGAATGGCTCAAGGGCGAAGGTGTTTATGACGACCGCGATAAAGTGGTGGAATGCGTTGCATTGGAGCAATTCTACCGCTGCATCGAGGAGGATGTCAAACTTTGGCTGCAGGACAAACTTGGTGAAGTACAGCTAAACAAGGCAGCAGAGTTAGCTGAGGAGTATTATACTCGCCGAAAGTTGCATAGCAGGGCAGTGCGCGTTGAAAAGGATGAAAGCAAAGAGGGCTTTTCAAAGAAACCTGATCAACGGAAACCCACTCCGCACCGTAATTTCAAAAAGGACCCGTCTCTTACGAAGGACACTGTAGAGGATGGGAAAACAGAAGCGGAAAAATCGAGTGAGGTTTCTAAACAACGCACTGATACCACACGGGCGTTTGAATCACGGAAGCCACTAATCTGCTACAACTGCAAAAAGGAAGGGCACATCGCGATAAACTGTAAGCAAAAGTTTGCTTTTGCAACAATTAGAGAATCGGAAAAGAACATGCGGTTGTTGGAGCCGTATATCCAAGAAATTAGTGTGAATGGGAAAGCGTGTCGAGCACTTAGAGACTCCGCGGCAACCATGGATGTTGTCCATCCTTCATTGGTGTCTCCGGACGACTTTACAGGAGAATGCGCGTGGATCAGGCAAGTCGCCGAGGAGCAGAGTGCTTGCTTACCAATCGCCACGGTTGTCATTGAAGGCCCGTTCGGTAAGCTTCGCACCGAAGCGGCTGTGTCTGCCGCGCTTCCCGATCGTTTTCCTTATCTCTTCTCCAACAACTCAGAGCAGCTTCTCAAAGAGCAGGGTAAATCGTTCTTCCCCAACTTAGCATACATGGCCCTCACGCGATCGCAAGCGCGGAAGCTCTCGCAAGAGCTTGACCTGGTTCAAAGCGGTGAACTCTCAAGTGACCTTGTCGGCGGGTCGACGGAACCTCAGAGAGGAAACTTTCCGCGTGAGTCATGTGAGCAGTCGCGCGAGCGGCCCGTCGCCGGACCGACCAGCGCGGTTTCCGTAGAAAGGGGAGACGACATGGCGCCATTGGATCAGAGGGAAAGGGCTGCAACGCTCTCGCCTGTAGCGGAAAGCTGGAGTGAGCTGTCGAGGGTTGATCGAGAAACGCTCATTCGAGAGCAGCGTGAGGACCTCTCGATTAAAGCGCTAATGGAAAGCGTAAACTTAGAAAAAAAGAAAAAGAATGTTTCTTTTTTTGAGAAAGCGGGGCTTTTGTATCGGAGCTACACAAATGCGCAAGGTCGCAAGTATGAGCAGCTCTTAGTGCCACAAAAGTATCGTCGCCAACTATTGGAACTGGCGCATGAAAACGCATGGGCAGGGCATCTCGGCATAAAAAAAAGCAAGGCTAGAGTTTCCCTTCAGTTTTATTGGCCGAAATGCTGGAAGGATATCGAAGACTTTGTGCGCTCATGCGACACTTGTCAGAGAGCGGGGAAATCCACGGACAAGTGGAAGGCACCCATGAAGCTTGTGCCGATTATCACAGAACCTTTTCGGCGCCTAGTAATTGATATAGTCGGGCCATTGCCAGAGTCAAGGCAAGGTTGTCGGTACATCCTGACGGCTCTCTGTGTAGCCACAAAATTTCCGGAAGCGATACCCCTTAAGGAGCTCAATTCCCCTCATGTCGTGGATGCGCTGCTATCCATTTTTGCACGCGTCGGATTTCCTTCTGAAATCCAATGCGACAATGGTAGTGTCTTCACCAGCTGCCTTACCTCTACCTTTATGGATAAATGTGGAATAAAAGTAGTGCACAGCTCGATCCATCACCCGCAATCTAATCCGGTAGAGCGTATGCATTCCGTTCTGAAACGGATACTGAGAGCTCTCTGCTACGAGCACAAATGCGACTGGGAAGCGTGTATTCCTCCCGCTATGTTCGCTTTAAGATCAGCTCCTCATGAGAGCACTGGTTTTAGCCCTGCAGAACTTGTGTATGGCAGGAGTTTGAGAACACCATTGCAAATGCTACGCGAGTCCTGGGAGGGATTCGATGAGGACCCTAATGTAGTTGCGTATGTTCTAGACCTCCTTCAGAGGCTTGGAAAAACGAAAGATCTTGTGGAAAGCCACATGAAGGCTGCACAAGTATTGTCGAAGGAGTACTACGACAAATCGGCGAAGAAGCGCACATTTGAAGTTGGTAGTCAAGTAATGCTGCTGCGGCCGTCCAAAAAGAACAAGCTTGAGGTTCATTGGGAAGGGCCTGCCAAAGTAATATCGAAGCTTTCTGATACCAATTATGAAGTGAAATTAGGAAGGCGGCCGAACAAAATTTACCACAGTAACTTGATGAAACCATACGTTCAACGTCAAGCGGTCGTAAATCTGCTGTTGAATGCTGCAGAGGAAGAGGGAGAAGAAATTTTGAATTCTAGTGATGTAATCGAAAGGGGATCGGAGGTAATCTTGGAGCAGTTGAACCTAGAGCCTAGGTTAAGTGAAGTCCAGAAGGAGGACCTGAGAAGGATTGTTTCCGAGTTTCAAGACGTGTTTTCGGACCGTCCCGGAAACACGACGGTGATCGAGCACGATATCGAGCTAACTTGTGAGGAGCCAATCCGTAGCAAGCCGTATCGTTGTTCCCCCGTGCAAAAGCAGATCATGAAAGAGGAGATCGATAAAAAGCTGGAGTTGGGAGTCATAGTACCAGGCGAGAGTGACTATACATCCCCTCTAATATTGGTTCAGGTGCCAGGAAAAGATCCGAGGCCATGCATCGATTACCGGCGTCTTAACGCAATAACTCGAGACCAAACTTACCCGATACCAAACCTAGAGGAGAGGGTGGAAACTGTGTCACAGTCCAGCTATATTTCCACGTTAGACCTCGTGCGAGGGTATTGGCAAGTCCCCCTTACAGAGCGTGCCAGCTGCTATGCCACATTTGTTTCTCCATTTGGAACGTATCGCCCACTTAAGCTGAGCTTTGGATTGAAAAATGCACCCTTTTGTTTTTCAGGCTTAATGGACCGCGTTCTTAAAGGCCTCTCCGAGTTCGCTCTGCCGTATATTGACGATGTCGCCATCTTCTCCAACAACTGGGAAGAACATGTCGAGCATCTACGCGTCGTGCTGAACAGGTTGAGAAAGGCTGGCCTTACCGTGAAACCTACTAAATGTCACCTAGGGTGTGGCGAGGTGTCTTACCTGGGGCACGTTGTGTGGCGTGGCCGGCGTAGACCTTCAGAAATTAAGGTAGCCGCTGTCGTGAACTATCCACGACCAACCACAAAATCAGAGATAAGGGCATTCTTGGGCCTGGCTGGATACTATCAGCATTACGTGCAAAATTACTCTAGCATTGCCAGCCCTCTCACTGACGCGCTTCGAAAGTCCGAGCCGGTTAAAAAAGTAGTATGGGACTCAGAAAAGGAGACTGCGTTTTGCCAGCTAAAACAGGCCCTAAGCGAAAAGCCTGTTCTCATGGCACCCGATTTCTCTAAGAGATTTGTGATTCAATGCGACGCGAGTGATCGCGGCATGGGAGCTGTATTGTGCCAGGAGGACGGTGCTGGTAACGAAAGGCCAGTTTTGTATTTAAGTCGAAAACTCAGCGGCAGGGAAGAGGCGTACAGTACCTCTGAAAAGGAATGCGCTTGCCTCGTGTGGGCCGTTCAAAAGCTAGCTTGTTATGTCTCCGGTTCGAGGTTTGTGGTTGAAACGGACCACTGTCCTCTAACCTGGTTAAATAACATGTCGCCTAAAAGTGGCCGGTTACTGAGGTGGAGCATGACACTCCAACAGCACAACTTTGACGTTCGCTACAAAAAAGGAAGGCTAAACGCTAATGCAGACGCATTGAGCCGTGCGTTTAGTTAGTACCTTCTCAACCTTTCGGTTTCTCGCTGGCGATTCGGGGCAAAATTTTGACCTCATCACGACCTGGGCTGAGCGCTCTCGTTCAGAGTGATCTCAAGGGGCCAACTTTGTGGTATTCTAATTCGTTACGTTGTTGTACGTGGGAAAAAAAAAAAAATTTGAGTTGTCATTTTAAGAGTCTTGTGTCCCACATGTGCCTCTTGATGTAGAGGGAACAAAATTCCGATAGACACGTAGATAGGTATATGTTGTACTATACTTTGTCTGGTGTTCTGTCGGGTGACCGAAGGCACTTGCGTGTGTCGTGTGTTGTCTGTTGTCGATTCGTTCTTGGCAAGTTGCAGAACCATCGACAAGTGCTGAAACCGAAGATGGTCAGAAGAGACGAGTGAAGCTGGTCGACAAGTTGTGGCGACAAGCCAGTGGAGCTGGGATCCGTCGTCAAAAATGGGATGTGTTCCCGGAACAGTTTGGAGCTGTATTCTCCCCATGGCCCTGGAGGCGAACCTGGAGGGACCTGGCGAACGAGCGCACCTGACATCCGAGCCCCGTGGAAGCAGCTCGTCTTTCCGGTGCATTGTCTGGCGGCGGGGGTGCTGTTATGCCAGCGAGTCCTCGTCAAACGTCCGTGCCTCTGAAAAAGGCAATCTGGGTCAAGGCCAGCCCGCAGTCCGCCTGGCGCGATCAACTCGACGGCGTGAACACGCGCGGCGCCTCTCTGGCCCACGTGCATTGAGTCAGCTGCGCACGTGACAGCGAGCCGGCGTCCTCGTGTCTGGTGGTCTGACGCATGGCGCGGCAACCCCATTGGAGGAGTCTGCCCTGACGACCAGCGGCGCTTCTGATTGGACATTTTGATTGGACCCGGTGCAAATAAAAGAAGCCCTGCGGCGTGTCGCGATCAGCGGTCTTAGGCGAAAAGTTGACCTATGTATTAGAGAGGAGAGCTCGGCTCTTCGAGTCTCTGTCGGCCCCAGTGCCGAAATTGTAACGCCTCTGTATATATGCTGTACATAAACCTTGTTTAACTCACCGTCGTCTCGTCCGCTCGTCTTATCAGCTCTGCGCAGAAGCAGTCGCGAGCTGATAAACGTACGCTACCAAACGGGTGGTGACCTTCCCGGCGGAGTTGGAAGCAGTGGTGCCTTCGGGACCGTGTTGGCGTCGCCGTCTTTCGCAACACTGTGTAGGGAAGAGTTCGTGCTCACACGTAAGGAACGAGTGCTAGTCTGGATTCATTGTAGCCAACCAATTTGATTTTATCTAGACCTGTGCGAATGTCACTTGTTTTATTTCAAAGCAGAATCGAATTGAAGAAGGGAATGGTTAATAGTATTGCACAATATCTTTAGCTAAAGGTAGCTGGAAAGACTACTGGGAATGTCACTCAATTTTAAAACAATAAGGAGCTGTAACTGGATTTCTGCCTTTTATTTCAGCTGCAATTATGAAGAATACGGGGGTTCTCTTTGCCAACGAATTACACAAGGAACGTTGCAAGGCCGTTGTTGGCAACCTGCACAGGCTGGGCGTGAACAACACCGTTGTCTGCTCTTATGACGGGCGAAAGTTCCCTGAGGTATAAAAAGACTTAATGTTTTTTCTTTTTGTTTTTTTTTGTAATTGTGATGTTGGAGTAGTGGTGTGGGCTTGTTCGTATGGATTTCACTTTGAAACGATTGAGTTGGAGCTTAAATGGCACATCCTGTAGTGAAACAGGAGAACATACCAGCTGTAAGTGACAAATCAATATTTTTTACACTCGGGGTATAAAAAATCAGGTTACTATGTCCAATGGTTCGTTGTTCATGCTGATGTTGAATATTTTGCTCTGGCCCACCAGTTGACTACAATACTACGGGCTTTACATTTATGGGACATCAAAACGAGCCACAACAATGTTATAAAAACGGTAGAACAACATTTTGAAATCTTTAAATATGGTTTGTTGAAGCTGTTGGCTAACATCTGCAGTTGCACCATTTGAAGGAAGTGGGAAAGTTTTAATTCACACTGGACATGCTGCGATTGCAGGTTGCCAAAGGATTTGACAGAGTGCTACTGGATGCACCATGCAGTGGTACAGGTGTTGTGTCCAAGGATCCTGCTGTTAAAACAAATAAGGTGACTCATGTTTGCTTCAGCTTGTTTTAAATTTGGTGTACATGGGTCCTGTAGTTCCAGTTCCTGTTTTAGCCAGCTTGGGTTTTCTTGCTTGTACCCTTACTCAAAGCAGTGGTGTGTCCTTTCGTTTGTTTTATGCAATGGTTAAACAGTAGGAAATCTTTCTTTCCATATTTCCTTCAGTATTTTGGGTGTCCTATGCTACAACTGCAGCATTTCTTGTTTGTTTTGTTCATAACTACAGTACGACCCCGATTACACTGCTTTGAGGGTACCAGGCATAGCCGTCGTGTAATATAGACAGTGACACTCAGCTTCGCCCAAAAAAAGGTTGCAGATTGCTTAAATAAGCCCATGACATGACCCTGCTTTCCTCGGAGGAAAGTATATGAAGTTATATTTGAAAATGGCAGTTGATGGAGGTGCAAGTGAATCTTTTTTCTCGACTTAAGGGGAGACACGGGTATGGGAGACCAAAAATTTTCCGAAAAACCGATTTTTTGAAGTATTTTTTTTCATAATCATTAAGGTCTAAGCAAGCTGTTCCTAAAATATTATAGCCCTGTAATGCGTATTTGTCGAGTTATTGGGTCGCAAAGTCAGTTTGGTGACCATTTTCGCTTGCGAAATCACCTCAAAAACGGTCGTATTCAATGCGGCAGCGCGGGAGAACCGCACCAAGTAGCGCGGCCATTTTGGTCTCATTTTAAAGACGCATTTTTCTATTCTCTGTTCCTAGCAGAAGAACGTTTTTCGTCTAGCAACAACGCAGTTATCGCGCATAAAGAAAAACAATACTCACACATCATTGGTGCGTTTTTGTCACGTGGGGCAGTTCCCGTTTTCCTATTGGACGCGAAGGGATTCGTCTGCTAGACAGCGGTGTGCAAGCCGCCATTTTGCGTAGAGACCTAACAACGGCTGTGCATTCAGTGCAATGGCAGGCGGTCATCGAAAGTTCCGGAGTGCTCCAGCGTTCGGAAAAAGGCGAAAACGGCGTCCGAGAGCCCGCACCTTATCACCAGCGAGACCTTCTGCCGCCGAGAACTCCGAAGAAGCAGGCTGTGCCAGCGCTATCACCGCCGCGGCACCCGCGATCGCGGACGCGATAGCCGCGTCCCAAGATCACACGAGAGCTGTGCGCGTCGACACTCCCCTGGTTTCCGACACTGAAAAAGTGGCCATCGAGTGTCGTGCGAGCGATGTTCTGCAAGATCTTTCATCGAAGCCTGCCACAAAACGCAAGCGGTCTTTTTTTCGAGACTCGGATGGAGCCGCAACACCTGGTACGCCGTTCACCGTCGTTAGCTTAGAGTTGGTCAACGAACTTCTTCAGTGTATGAAGTGCGGTGTGTGTGGCGGGCCTGGCAGAATCTGCAAGGAAGACCGCAAATATGGCATAGCTGCGAAACTTGTTCTCACATGTGACGAGTGCGGTAAACTGAGGACCGTATGGAGCTCGCCTGAGAGCAGGGGGGGACGCAGCGCACGGCCCCTTCGAAATTAACGTGCTCGCGGTTCGCGCGGCAATGAGCACAGGAAACGGGCAAACTGCGCTCAACGATATTTTTTCCGTCCTAAAAATTTCACGGAGAGGCCTGCTCACCAAGACATATCAGGATTATGTGAAATTGAAAATGAACCCTGCCGCGCAGAAGGCTGCCGCGTGCGTTATTGACGACTGCGCGAGCACCGTGAAAACGGTGTATTCCGAACTCAACTATGGAAATCCTGGAAATATCGCCGTTTCCTTTGATGGGACTTGGCTGACCAGGGACCACTCATCCCATATTTGTGTAGGGACCGTGATTGAACTATTCACGGGTTATGTGCTCGACTTAGTCGTCCTATCGAACTTTTGTTTGGGCTGCCAGCTAGGGCCGAAGGAGGACAACCCAAGGTATGCTGAGTGGCTAGCTGGTCACACTTGCCAAAAGAATACCTCCAGTAAGCCAGGACAAATGGAGGTGGAAGCAGCACAAATTTTATTTGGCCGCTCATTGGAGAGACAATGGGCTCCGCTACACAACCATGTTGTGTGATGGAGACAGCCGGGCCTTCAACAGTCTGCAGGAGGCACAGGTATATGGCTTCGTGCCAATAGAAAAAGAGGACTGTGTCAACCATGTGCATAAGCGCATGGGCACAGCACTTCGAAACCTCCTGCAAAAACAAAGAGTTGAAGGAAAGCCAAGCCTTGGCGGCAAGGGCAAACTGACAGGCGAGCTGGTCACAAAGCTCACGTCATTTTATGGATGGGCATTACAAAGCAACCAAGGAAGCATTGAGGCCATGAACAATGCTGTCTGGGCAACCTTTTAGCACGTAGCGCCTACTGATGCAAGCCCTCAGCACTCTCACTGCCCAACTGGTGAAGAGTCATGGTGCAAGTACAACAAGGCTGTTGCCAAGCAGGAGACTCCTCCGAATCATCGCTACAACCTGCCGGAGTATGTGGTTGATACCTTGCGGCCTATTTACACGCGCCTCTCTGACAAGAAATTGCTGGAGCGTTGTCAGCGAGGCAAAACACAGAACCCAAACGAGAGCCTGCACTCCGTCATCTGGTCGCTTGTGTCCAAAAACAAACACGCGTCGCTTTTCACCGTTGAAGCTGTTGTGGCTGAAGCTGTCGCAAGGTTCAACGCTGGCAAAGGGAGAGCAGATGCCGCCATATTGAAGGAGCTGCACCTGCAGCAGAGTGTTGTGGCCGCTGAAAGATGCTCAGAAAAGGACAGTCGCCGACTAGTGGCATCTGAGAAGAAGCATGCCATGAAAAGAAAGCGCACCAAGGAGGATGATGATGACTACATTCCTGGTGGCTTCTAACATGGTTAATACATCGATTCACACCTTTTCTTGTTAAATATAAGTGCTCAGCATGTTCCTAAACTTCTTTTCTCATTTTCTCAAAACATTTTTCATCACACCCTAAGCCATTGCCCACAGTATCTTTTGATGTAGCAGTCGGATTTTGATAATTCTTGCAGCATTTGAAAGTTTATACATTGATTAGTGCAAGAAAACCAAAAAAATGTAATATTTTTATTTACAATAGTTATTTAGGCAATTAGCAATAAACTTAAGCAACAGTTTCAGATTTCTAATGAGTATACTTGTTAAGGCCATAACTCTGCTACCAAAGAAGCTAAAAATAAAATTATGGTTTTGTTGCACTCCCTGGTCTTCATGGAATGCTGTCATATAAAATTTGTAGCAATATTTTATGAGGAAGATGTCAAAAGGCTGGGCAGAATGCAAGTTTATGTAACAGTCAATATTTAAAAATCTCAAAGTGATAGTAAAAAACTAATTGCATATTTGTTTTCAGCTGTGAAAAATAGATATTGTATTTGTGAAGAAAGAAAGACAGAAAGACGAAAGAAAGAAAGAAAGAAAGACGGATCTATCCGATTTTGCGTGGACTATCGTCGTTTGAATAAGATAACCCGCAAGGACGTCTATCCTTTGCCGCGCATTGATGACGCCATTGACACCCTTCACGGAGCGGAATTTTTCTCGTCGCTAGATTTGCAGTCTGGCTACTGGCAGAAGCCGATCGCCAAAAAACGGCATTTATTACACCAGACGGACTATATGAATTTAACGTCATGCTCTTTGGGCTTTGTAACGCGCCTGCCACGTTTGAACGTCTTATGGATAATACGCTACGTGGCCTCAAATGGAATATGTGCCTCTGTTACCTCGACGATGTCGTGGTTTTCTCCCATGACTTTCCTACGCACCTCCTTCGCCTCAGGCACGTTTTGAGTTGTCTGACCAACGCTGGTCTGCAGCTTAACCTGAAAAAATGCCGCTTCGCTGCACGCGAGCTTGTCATTTTAGACCACATCGTGTCCAAGCACGGTGTATTACCAGACCCAGCAAAACTTCGAGCAGTCGCAGAATTTCCCAAGCCGACGACCATGAAAGAACTTCGCAGTTTTGTAGGCCTATGCTCCTATTTCCGGCGCTTTGTTCGCAATTTTGCATCTATCATGTCACCGTTAACCCAGCTTCTTCGCGGTGACGTGAACCTCACCTCCTGGTCCCCTGCGTGTGACGTTGCCTTCACTACTCTGTGCCGTCTGCTCACTTCCCCACCTATTCTTCGCCACTTCGACCCGACGGCTCCTACCGAAGTGCACACCGACGCCAGCGGCGTCGGGCTAGGCGCGGTCCTCACTCAACGAAAGCCCGGCTATTCAGAATACGTTGTAGCCTACGCTAGCTGCACTCTGACGAAAGCCGAAACTAATTACAGCGTGACAGAAAAAGAGTGTTTGGCTCTGGTGTGGGCACTTGGAAAGTTCCGGCCGTACTTATACGACCGCCCGTTCGATCTAGTAACTGATCACCACGCGCTTTGCTGGCTCTCCACGTTGAAAGACCCTTCTGGCCGCCTTGCGCGATGGGCACTTCGCATCCAGGAGTACGTACGACATTCGCGTCGTATACCGCTGCGGACGCAAACACTCTGACGCTGATGCCCTGTCCCGCTCACCTTTACCACCAGATCAGACGTGCGGAAACACTTGCCTCCAGACCTTGTCATCGCTAAATCTCGACTCGATCGCCACCGGACAACGTCGTGACCCGTGGATTGCCTCTCTTATCGAATATTTATCTGGCACGCCCCACCTTCCAGTATCTCGATCCCTCCGACGTCAAACTTTCCATTTCGCCATCCGCGATCAACTTCTTCATCGACGCAACTACGCTCCCGATGGCCGCCGGTGGTTGCTGGTCATTCCACGCACTTTACGATCGCAAGTATGCGCCTCCCTTCACGACGATCCGCAATGTGGCCACGCCGGAGTGTTCAAAACATATGAACGCCTTCGCCATCGCTATTACTGGCGCGGCATGTACAATTTTGTACGTAAATTCGTGCAGTGCTGTCCTGACTGCCAGCGACGTAAATCAACACTGCCACGTGCGACTGGCACATTGCAGCCACTTCCATGCCCTGCCAAGCCATTTGATCGCATCATCGTTGA